GCCGCTCTGTCCCACTTGCCTTGGCCTCCACCCCAGGTCTCCAGAGGTGTGCAGAGCCTCGGGGAAGAAGGCAGCGACCCCCAGCCCGCAGGCAGTGCCCCTGCAGCCTGCTGGGGAGTGGGGACCGCGGGCAGAGTCCCAGGGTGCTCCCCCTCGGCACCTCCTGGGCACTTCTGCCCCCAGCAGACGGTGATACAGAGTGTGGTCCCTGCTTGCTTCAGGCCGGTGGTTCTCTGAGCAGGGCCCCTGGGCCAGCAGCTTCCCCACCAGCTGGAACTGGTTAGGAATGCGGGTTCCTGGGGCCCAGACCTGCTGACTCTGAAACTTTGCGGGTGGGCCCCAGAGCTCCACTCTGACCAGGGATTCTGATGCTCGTCCCGGTGTGATGCCCCTGCCTTGGAGGCCCCCTGGGTCCCGGCGTCTTCCTGCTGCAAGCGGGAAGAGGAGGACGGAGTCCACGTCTTGTCTCCTCCCTAGTCTCTGCCCCCTGCCTCTCGCTGGGTCCTCGAGGGACGATGTTTCCAGATGTCGTGCCCCTGTCACCGTGAACCAGCCTGTGTGCTCAGGGGTGGGCTGTGCCCTGGCAGCGAGCACCCAGGAGGCCTCCTGTCCAGGCTCCTCACGCCGGGTGCAGGGCCTGCGGGGACGAGCAGGGGCAGAACCAGACCTGCGGGCGTCCGGGTGGAGTTCCTGTTCCCACACCTGTCTTCACGGTCAAGGAGGAGGCAGGGGCCTGCCGAGTGGGACAGCCAGACTCCCCAGCCCCGTGGGCGGCCCCCGCCCTCCCCTGAGCTGGGCAGGGGAGGGGAGCGGACGGGACGGGCTTGGTGGCGGCTCAGGCCTGATGACAGCCCCCGGCTTGCGCACAGCGTGCTTTTTCAGGCGGGAACGGCTGTGCTTATTGCGGCTGCTTTCCCAGGACCCCGCAGTGAGGCCGCGGCTCTGTGCTGAGCAGCATTTCGCTAAGCCTCTGCGCGGCTTCCTGCGGAGGCTCTGAGGCTGTCAGTGAGAGGAGCCTGGGTTAGTCACTGACTCAGCAGGCAGCCAGCAGCGGGCCGGGGCTGTGGCTGGGACAGGGAGGCCGGGCGTCCCGTGCAGCAAGACCAGGGCTGGCCTCAAACTCCGGAGTTCCAGGGTTCCCCTGGGGAAGGAGGTGTGGGCGCTCCTAAGCGCGGGCTTCCTCAGGGCTGTTCTCAGTTGGACCTTTCTGGGTCGGCTTCTGGCGTCAATCTGTTCTGAAGGCCTGTGAAGCAGAAGAAGAGGCCACAGCCGAGAAGCTGTGAGAGCTTCTGAATCGTCGATGGTGATCAGGGCATCTTAAATTATACGACTCAGGACGGTCGCTGGAAGCTGGCCAGTCCCTAAAGCAGCATCCTCAGATAGTAGGAGGCACATCATAAACTGTTTCCTTCCTTTTGTTCTGGTTTGAAAGTTGAAAGCTTGGGAAAGCTTGAGTTCATCTCATCACAGATGAGACCACGTTCCAGGCCCCCGTCTTCCCAGGTCTGCGTGATTCGGTCTGAGACGTGGTGGCTCAGCCAGGGCTGCGGCCCGCGTGCCGTGAGGGCCCCTGCCGCCCCTGCAGGAGGAGCGTCTCTGGGGCGCGTCCAGCCTCCTGGGGGGCGCCGAGGGAGGGAGCGCAGTCCGAGCCGGCACGGGGCTGCCACGCGGTGCACGCTCAGGCACACGCGCATGCTCACGGGGTCCTTTCAGAGCACACACCCTGTTTTGTAACTCCACAGTGGTGACTGGAATCAGACTCTCCTGGCTGCTGCCACGTCCTCCTGTGGCTCTAAGACTTGTTCTTACGGGCCGTGCTCGCAGGGTAGTGTATCGGCCTAAACGCAGACGTGAATTTAGCAGCTTGAGACGACGCACACTGATGACCTCCCGTGGTTTCTGAGGGCAGGGATTCAGAGCAGGCGGGCCAGGGGATTCCGGCCGAGGGTCCCTCAGGAGGCTGCAGTAGGGGCTTTAGCCGGGGCTGCCCCATCTGAAGGCTGGACCGGGCGGGATGCCTGGCTTCCAGGAGGCCCCTCCCGTGGCTCCTCTGCACGTGGGCCCCGCAGGGCTGCTGAGGCTCCTCAGTGCACGGGGGCCGGCTCCCCTCAGGAGGAGTGTGACGTGGGAGAGCGTTGGTGGAAAGTTCTAGACCCTCCTCCTCATCCTGTGACTACCTCAGCGCCTTGTACACTGTGCTGTGTGCGTTTGTCTCTGAGCAGACCCTGCAGGACAGCGTGGCGTCTTCTCTGCTTTCAGTGGGTCCAGGAGCCCAGGGAGTTCAGGGCTGCCAGGACTGTCTTTGTGGACTCACTGAATGTTGGGGACCAGGAACAGAGTCTGTCGGCCGTGTGAGTGTCTGAGATGCTCAGTGTCTTCCTACTGAGGCGGAGGTGCTTCTAACGATACCGTGCATTTCCTCCTGTAGGTTTTGTTGTGGTTTTTTGTTTGTTTGTTTTTGCCACACCATGCAGCATGTGGGATCTTAGTTCTGTGACCAGGGATTGAACCTGGGCCCTCGGCAGTGAAAGCACAGAGTCGTAACCACTGGACCGCCAGGGAAGTCCCTGTTGTTCTTGTTGTTGATAGCTGTTTTGAGGTGTAATTCCCACAGTCTTCACCTCATCCACCTAAAGCATGCTGTTCCCTGCTTTGTAGTGTATTCATTGAGTGCAGTCGTCACTACTACCAATTTTAGAACATTCCATCACCCCGAGAGGAAACCCCGTCCCCATTAGTATCCCTCCCACCCCCCTCTACAGCCCCTGACAACCAGGAACCCACTCTCTGTCTCTGTGGATCTGCCTGTTCTGGACATTTCCCATCAATGGAATCACACCCTGTGTGTCCTCCTCTGTCTGGCTTCTCTCGCTGAGCATCGTGTTCTCAGGGTCTGTCCACGTTGTAGCAAGGGTCAGTGCTTCACACTTTTTCATGGATGGATAATATTTCAGCATGTGGAGGGACACATTTGTTTATTTGTTCATCTGTTGATGGACATTTGGGTGGTTTCCACCTTTTGGCGGTTGTGAATCATGCCTCTGTGAACATTAATGTTCAGGGTTTTTTTTGTGTGTGGTTTTTTTTTTTTGGTCGTGTTGGGTCTTCGTTGCTATGCATGGGCTTTCTCTAGTTGTGGTGAGTGGGGGCTACTCTTTCTTGCAGTGCGCGGGCTTCTCATTGCAGTGGCTTCTCTTGTTGCAGAGCACAGGCTCTAGGCACGCAGGCTTCAGTAGTTGCAGCATGCAGGCTCAGTAGTTGTGGTGAACGGGCTTCGTTGCTCCGCGGCATGTAGGATCTTACCAGACTAGGGCTCGAACCTGTGTCCCCTGCATTGGCAGCTGGATTCTTAACCACTGTGCCACCAGCCACCAGGGAAACCCAATGTTCAGCGTTTTGTGTGGACAAATATTCTCATTTCTCTTGGGCAGACACCAGGAGAGGAATTGCTGGGTCATTTGCTAACTGTTTAACCTTTGAGGAGCTGCCAGACTGTTTTCCAAACCCAGCTGTCCTCACTGTTTCCTGCCGTTTGCCAGGAGGCCTTGGGGCCGATCAGTGGTTCTTCCCAAGGGTTTCTGGGTCAGCAGTGGTGCTGATGCTGCAGGTCGCTTCCCCCGTCTCGGGAACCACTGGTCTGCAGGGCTGTCCTGTGCTGGACCGCACGTGCTCCATCTCCCGCCCCCTGCCTTGTCTAAGTAATATGAGTTCAATGGATATTTACTGCTCCGTCCTTGGTAAGTTGGAGGATGTTATTAAGAACGATAGAAGATTGGTTTTTTTCCTTTGCCTTAAAAAATAAGACTCTGGGCAAAAGGTCACATATCGTAATTCTATTTACAAAGGTCCAGAACTGGCAAATCCACAGAAACAGAGAGTGGGTTAGTGTTATCAGGGGCTGGGGAGGGGATTGGGGTACGTCTGCTAATGGGGTGATGGGATGTTCTGGAACTAGATAGAGGTGATGGTTGCACAGCTCTGAATGTATTAAAACCCACTGAACTGTATACTTGAAGTGGAGGCCCATTCTGTGTGAATTATATCTCAGTAGGGCTGCTGTTGCAAACAGGAGGCTTAGGACACAAAGGGTGTTTCCGGAGTTGTTTGACCTGTTAGGAACACTGCGCCGTGGGGGGCCCTGTCCTGGGACCTTACGGGCATCCGTGCCCTGACCTGCAGGGACTCTGCCCGCGTTGCCATCCTCCTCTGTGAATCATGGAAATGGTGGCCTGGGCTGAGAGGGGCAGTCGCTGTCCCGGGGCAGGGCTGGCAGCTCTGGGCCTGACCATCTCACCTCCGGCTTCAGCCCATGCTCTTCGCAGCCCCTCCTCTCGCTGTGCATCCTTTCGAGACCCCTCCTCACCACGATAGAAACCTTCACTGGCGGGGCAGAGGTGCAGTCTAGAGTTACAGACCGTCCACACGATGCGTCGTCCTCACTTGGTTTCTGCGCGGTCTTGGGTTAGCTGGCCGCCAAGACCCCGGCGAAAGGCCAGAGCGACCCCCGATGTGCTCCTCGGGAAAAGCGGCGAGGCCAGCCCGCCGGGCGCAGTGGGGCCAGGAGAGCGCCGCTGTGGCTGGGAGGGAGGACCGCTGCTTGCCCGCTCCCGGTGGTTGCACGACTGGTGTTTCCCCATTTTACAGATGGAAACCGAGGCCTGCAGCGGTTCAGGGATTCAGAGCCAGGCCTGTGGCTTCCAGGCTGCAGGAGCGCCCGGGGGAAGTCCTGGGGAAGGAGGGTCGGGGGCTTAGACTCCGTCCCGGTCCCTTCCCCGCAGCCCACTGGGCGTCAGGGCGCTGCAGGAACAGGCGCTCCCGAAGCCAGCGTGTCCCACGTGACAGGACATGGCCCCAGCGCTGTGGGTAGGGCTCTCTGGTAGGTCCCGCGGGTCGGGAAATGAGGCGGGGAGTCCTGGGGGCTGCAGCACCCGCCTCCTCTGGTCGCCACCATCACCGGAGGGTGGAGGGACGGCTCTAAACCCTGTCCCATTGTCTTTCAGGACAAACACCACGATGCTGCTCATGAAATCATCGAGACCATCCGGTGAGTGTGGCACCTGCTGGGGCTGGGCCTCAGGGGCGGGGCCTCGGGGTGGGCCAGTCCTGAGTTCCCAGCAGCCCCCCAGCTGTGCGCTCCCCCATTCCTCCATGCTGATCTGTGTCAGCATCGTCAGCATCGAGGCGGCTTGGGAAGCGGGGCTGTGGGGTCAGGGGTCAAGTCCTCTGAGTGTGACCCAGGACAGGTCTTGGTGCTTCGTGAGCTGGCTTCCTGTGGAAGAGGCTGGAAATCCTGAGTGGCCAGCTTCCCGAGGGACCCCCCCTCCCCTCTCGCCTCATCACCTTGCTTTACGCTTCTCCCGTGGGGTTTGGTGTGACCTTTGGGTTTGGGCTGCTCTTCCCTCTGTGAGCCTGCCCCGTGCTGTGCAGAGGAGGCCGGGTGCCCAGGAGGCTGACCCGGACGAGATCTGGGAGGGGGGCCGCCGGCTGTGTTTCTAGTGGGCTGTCTCCTCACGTGGGACCTGAGGGTCTGCGACGGCCTCCAGAGTGCCCTCAGGGGCCCACGCGCGGAATCCTGCGACCGCTCTTGGCTTTAGATGTTCCACGTGTGTGACCGTGGCCCTGGCATCTCGCTGCATTGTTCCTTAAAATCCTTAGCTGTGTAGCCACTGCCTGGGCCACACGCCATTATATCCACTTGAACCTGGGGCAGACGGGCTGGCAGTGCCCCAAGGAGGAGTCAGGATTGGGGTCTGGGCTGTGACATGAGGCCCCGTCCTGCCCCTGGTGGCTGAGTGACCTCAGACTCCCTGAGATTGTTTTCTCTGCTCTCGGGTCTGAGCAGGGCCTCCTGCAGGATTGTCTGGAAGACTGAGTGAAATCATGGGTGTGAGTCTTGCAGGGTGGGCCTGTCCAGGGGTGGTGCTGAGAATTTGGGATCTACTTTTTTTATTGTTAATGGTGTAATATATCATAAAAATAATGGTTTATTTTTAAAGAAGACTGCTGGTTAGGAAGTGGGGCTGTGTGATTAGGCAGGGGGCACTGAGTCGGCCGTCCTGGGTTCTCACCCGCTCCCCGGAGCCGGAGCCGAGTGAGCTCCGGGGGCGGGTCAGCCTCCCTACCTGCTTCCTTTCTGCAGGGAGGGGGTGTCCCTGCAGTGCGGGGCGTCAGGACTGGGTTTGCAGCTGTCCAGCCGGGCCTGGTCCTCGTCTCACAGGCGACTTCACCTCCTTCCCTCGTGTCCCCGAAGGCGGGTTCTGTTCACTGGCAAAGACAGTGGTTACCTATTTTGTTTTTCCTCTTATTTTACTTTTTATCCTGGAGGATTTACGACATGCCTAGAGGTAGGTAGTGGGTGTTATGAGCCACCCAGCCCAGCACTCGCCGACTCTCAGCTGCTTTTGTTTCACCTGTGCTTCCATTCACTTTCTTCTTTTCCATGTTAGGGTTTATTATGACACAGTCGAGGTGTGGTTGAAGTGCAGGAGACTGCACGTGTGGAAAGTGTACAGTGGCCGACGTGGATGCGTGGGTGTCCCCATGTACCAGTGTACAGAGTCACCCCTGTGTTTCCTTGTGCCCTCTCTCGGCCACCTCTCCCTCCCTTCTGTCCCAGGCAGCCCAACCTGCTTTCTGCCGCTGTGGATTACTTTGCATTTTCTAGAATTTTACATTTTTTAAAAATGTAACAATAGTTTTTCCTTTTTATTCGTGAGGAGTGCATCATTGCAGGATGGACCACAAGTTCTCTCATTCGTTTACCAGATGACAGACATGTTTGGGTGGATCTCGATTTTCGGCAATTGTAAATGAAGCTGTTGTAAACATCCTGCGGAGGTTTTTGTGTGGACACATCTCCCTTCCTTCCGCGTAAATACCCGGGAGTGGGATTGCTGGGTTGTGCTTGAAGACAGGCTGCCAAGGTGCTTTCCAAAGGGGCTGCCCCACCTGGCGCTGCAGGCAGTGGTGCAGGACCGCTCCCGTGGCTCCCGTTGTTGGCAGGTGATGTTCACTGGGTTGTTCTTGCTGGTCCTGTTCGAGTCGTGGGGTGGTATCATTGCGGTTTTAATGAGAGTTTTCCTAATAATTGATGATGTTCATCATCTTTTGCCTCGTTTTAAAAACTGGTTGTTTTTTAATTATTGAATTTTGAGCATTCTTTATCATTGTGATTTATCCTTATCAGGTATGTTTTCTTCTGGTCTGTGGCTTGTCTCTTCATGCTCATGACATTGTCTTTTAAAGAGCAGATATCTTAAATTTTGATAGAAGTCCAGTTTATCACCTTTTTTTTTTTCTTTATAGTTTGTGGGTTTTTTGCATGCTAAGACGTGTTTGCCTAACTCAAGGTCACAAAGGTTTTCTCCTGTGTTTTCTGGAAGTTTTATAGTTTGGATTTTATATTTACATCTTTTCATCCATTTTGAATAAATTTTTACATGTGGTGCAAAGTATGGGCTCAAGTTTATTGTTTTGCATGCCAGACGTCCAGTAGTTCCAGCAGCATTTGTTGATGAAACTGTCCTTTCTCTGTGGAATTTCCTTGTCACCCTTATGAAAGATCAGTTGACAGTGTACCAGGTGGTTTATTTCTAGACTCTGTTCTGTGCCGCTGATTCATGGCTCTCTCCTTTGGGCAGTACAAAACCTTGGTTACCACAGCTTTATGGTAAGCTTTGGAATCAGACAGAGTCAGTCCTCCATCTTTGTTCTTCTTTTGAAATGTTGCTTTGTTTATTCCATCTCCTTTGCATTTCCATGTAAATATTAGAATCAGCTTGTTGATTTTTGCACAGTTTAGTTAGGAATTGAATCTGTAGGTCATCTTGGAGAGATTTACCATCACTGTTGAGTCTTCCAATCCATGAACATGGTATACCTTTGCACTTACTTAAGCCTTTCAACACTTCTCTTGGCAGCTCTGGCATTGCAGTGTTGAGGTCTTGGACAACCTTTTGTTAGGTTTATTCCTAGCTCACTCATGCTTTTGGCACTACCATAAGTGGGATTGTGTGTTAAATTTTATGTTCTATTTGCCTTCTGGTAGTGGGTAAAAATACTGTTGATTTTTGTGTATTAACCATGACCTTGTGCTTATTTCATCAATCCTAGTGGTAGTTTTATAGATTTCCTGGGACTTGCTGTGGAAATAATTGTATCACCTGTAAGTGGGGACAGCGTTACTTCTTCCTTTACAGGCTTCATGATTTCATTTCTTTTTCTGGAGCTTATTGAATTGCCTGGGACCTTCAAGACTGTTTTGCAATGAAGTGGTGAAATCTGGTATTCTTGCCTTTTCCCTGATCCTGGTGGGAAAGGTTTAGTCTTCCACCACTGAGGTGATGTTAGCTGTAGGTTCTTCACAGATGCCCATTATGAGTTTGAGGAATTCTCTACTATTCCTGGTGTTATTTTCCCTAGGTGTGACAGTGGCATCCACTTATGTTTTAAAAAAAAAGAAGCCATAACTTTTACAGTTAAATACTGAAATATTTATGGATGAAAACGTCACGTGTGGTCTGCTTCCAAATAGTATGGAATGGGTGCAGAAAAAGCATTTGACAAAACAGTGTTCCTGATAAGAGCTCTGAGTACAGCAAGAGGCACATGGCATCTACATGTCTTGCCACGATGACATTAACTTGGATCATGTGGTTGAGGTGGTATCTTTCAGATTTCTCCGGTGTAAAGTTACTGTTTTCCCCTTTTTAATTAATAAAAATCGTGGGGGAAATATTGGGTTGGCCAAAAGGTTCATTCGGGTTTCTGAACAAACCTTTTGGCCAGCCCAATACTGGGAGGCTGTGCAGATATCCTGTTTCTTCTTGGACTTTTGCTTCTGATTTTAGCATCCAGAGGTGGGTCTCACCTGCAAGGACTAGTTACTGGGGCATTTGAAAGATACTTTTTTTTCTTTTTTGGCCGTGCTGCGTGGCATGCGGGATCGTAGTCTGAACCCATGCCCACTGCAGGGGAAGCGCAGAGTCTTAACCACTGGACCGCCAGGGTAGTCCCAAAAGGTGCTTTTCTGTTTCCGTCATTCTCCCTCCATTTATTAATTGGAACTCTTCTGTGAGGAAGGGCTGTTCCTCCGCAGGCATTGACTTCATTCTGTGGGTCATACCCCGCTGCTGCATTACTTGTTTTGCTCCTCAGACTGTTCCTGTGCTGGCCTGGGGGGCTCTTTGGGTTTGTGCCCAGTCCCTTTGACTTGGCCTCGCCCACTCTGAGCACATCCTCACTTTCTGGAGCCGCCAGATGCTCCAGAGTCATCTTGAATTTGCTGTGTCCCAGCCCAAGAGTCGGCCACTGCTCCAGAGAGCTCTGGTTTTTCCCCTGGAGAAGAGTTTGTGCTGTTTTTTGTTTTTGTTTTTTAATTTTTATTTTTGGCTGTGCTAGGTCTTCGTTGCTGCGCGCAGGCTTTCTCTAGTTGCGGCGAGTGAGGGCCACTCTTCGTTGCGGTGCACGGACTTCTCGTTGCAGTGGCTTCTCTTGTTGTGGAGCACGGGCTCTAGGTGTGTGGGCTTCAGTAGTTGTGGCTCACGGGCTTAGTTGCTCCGCGGCATGTGGGATCTTCCTGGCCCAGGGCTTGAACCTGTGTCCCATACATTGGCAGGCGGATTCTTAAGCGCTGCGCCACCAGGGAAGCGCTGTGCTGGTTTTTGAGAATGGGTTGCTTGTCTTCTTACTGAGCTATAGAAATTCTTAACATGTTCTGACTGAGTGCCTAGTGAGGTAGTGTATTGTGCATAGTGTGGCTGATTGCAGCTTGAACGGCATCTTGAGGAGTGGAAGTTTTTAACTTACCGATTTATTCTTTGATGGTGGGTCATCTGGGTCATATCCAGGAAATCTTTGCCTGCAGAGTCATGCAGTTATTCTCCTGTTTTCTTCAGGAAGCTTTGTGGTTTTAGCTTTTACATCCAGGTTTAAGATCGATTGTGAATTAATCTTTGTTTATGTCTGATGAGGGTTTGTGTTTATGGGGGTCAAGATTTTTTTTTTCCATTCACTATTCGATCCTTCTAGTCTCATTTGTTGAAAAGATGTTCCTTTCCCCATCAAATTGCCTTGGTGCTTTTGTCAAAAATCAGCTGTTAAAATTTAGTCTGTCTGTGGATTCCATGTCCTGTACCACTGATCTGTTTGTTCACCTCTCTGCCAATACCACACTCTTGGTTACTGTAGCTTTACGTTAAGTCTCAAATTAAGGCAGTGTGAATCTTGCAACAGTGCTGTTAGTTTTGAAGACTATTTTGGCTGTTCTGGATTCTCTGCCTTTTTTATGTCAATTTGAGAATCACCTTGTCTGTTACTCAGAAGAAAGCCTACTGGACTTTTTTATAGGAATTATTTTGCAGTTCAGTTTGAGGAGGAGATTTAACAATATTTAGTCTTGTATTCCATGAGCATTGTTTGTTTGTTTCTATATTTACTATTATGTTGTCTTTAATTTTTCTCAGTGATGTTTTGTTGTTTTCAATGTAGAGGTCTTGCAAATTTTTCATTAAGATAATCCCTAAGGATTTACATTTCAATGTTTTTTTGTTTTTGTTTGTTTTTTACATTTATTTATTTATTTTTGGCTTCGTTGGGTCTACATTGCTGCACGCAGGCTATCGCTAGTTGTGGCGAGCAGGGGCTTACTCTTCATTGCGGCGCGGGGGCTTCTCATTTGCGGTGGCTTCTCGTTGCGGAGCACAGGCTCTAGATGCACGGGCTTCAGTAGTTGTGGCTCGCAGGCTCAGTAGTTGCGGAATGCAGGCTGTAGGGCGCGTGAGCTTCAGTAGTTGTGGTGCACAGGCTTAGTTGCTCCGTAGCATGTGGGATCTTCAGTAGTTGCGGCGCACGGGCTTAGTTGCTCCGCGGCATGTGGGATCTTCCCAGACAGGGTCACGAACCCGTGTCCCCTGCATCGGCAGGCGGACTCTCAACCACTGCGCCACCAGAGAAGCCCCACAGCCTTTGTTTTGAAGTAACACCTCCCTTCACTCTTTCACTTTTTGAGTTGGGTAACGAGGATGTTTTGTTTTTGTATTTGTAGAGTAAACAGTGTTTAAGAACAGTGTTGAGAGTAAAAAATAGAGCACTAATACTAGTTTTCTTTGTGTTTCAGGTGGGTCTGTGAAGAAATCCCAGATCTCAAGCTCGCTATGGAGAATTATGTTTTAATCGACTACGACACCAAAAGGTAAGCCAGGTTCTGCCTGGACTGCGTCTCCACTTGGGACGGGCTCAGCGTGTGTGGACACAGCCTATAATTAGATCTTCCTCGATGCTGCAGGCTGATGGGAAAGTTCCTTTTAGAGTTTCCTTTCAGAGCCAGCATTGAGTTATTTTGGTAGGAAATGTTTATCCAATATTGGCAGAGGCTGTCAGAGTGAGGACATAATTGGACACTGCACGTTGCAGCAACTGGGATTGGTGTGTGTGTGAAACTACCCCAAGTTAGGAGTCACTCTTCACGGCAGGCAGCTGCCAGCGCCGGCGGCCTGGCCTGGGGAGCCTTGGTCCCTGCCCAGCTCTGGTCAAGGTCTCACTTGGCTTTGGCCACGTCTAGCAGTTTCCTACAGCCACATCCTGGGTCTCCAAGGAGAGTCCTCTGGGTGGGGAAGGGCGAGGCCGTGTCTGGAATGCCTGCCTGGAATTTTTTTGTTTTTCTTTGAGAAACGCTCCTGCCTGTCTCTGTCCTTGGCAGGCTCGAGGTGGCACGCAGGCTCGGGCTTAAGTAGCTGCTTATGGCAGAGAACGCGGCCCCGAGGCGCCCTCGAGCCCCGCACAGGCCCTGCTGCCAGGCCTGCTCACGTGGGCTCATTTCTGTGTTTGGAGGACTTGTGGTCCTGGCCGGCCTTCCCAGCCTCAGTCAGCCCCTGGTCCCACCCCCTTGCCTCCCCCTCCTCCCCGTTCAGTCATCAGCACTTGCTGTTGTGACAAGAGGCCACCCGTGCTGGCCCCTGGTCCAGAGCAGCCAGACCCCCGCAGCATCGGCACAGGTGGCCGCACGGCCTTGGGCGGCCAGCGCATCCATGGGTCCTGACCCCTGATGAGGACGCCTCCTGCCCCTGGGGTGAGGGCGCCTGTGGCCGCTGACCTTGAATGATGGTCTCGAGGTCTGTGCAACTCACGTCTCGTGATGGTTGAGTGCCGTGGGCCTGGCCTAGAGCAGCTGGGGTGCTTAAAGGCGCTTTTGGTGCAAGGTGCTTGCAGGTGGGGGTTTGGTGTTCTTCCCTCCGTGTTCAGCCAGTTGAGGAAAGACTGGAAGGACGTGGGGCTGGGAGAGGGCAGGGGGCCATCTGACGGTGCCCACCCCAGGGACCCGTGTGACCTCAGGGTCTGTGACAGCAGGGCCGGCGCAGAGAGCCGAGCTCCTCTGTCTGGTGGATCCCGGCAGGGATCAGGGTGCCCAGGTTCCCCTGAGCTTCCGTGTTGCTCATCCTCCCAGAAAAGATCTCTTCCAGGGTGTAGCCAGAGGCTTTGAAGGAGGTGTGGAAGTCAGAACACAAGGAAGTGAGGTTGTGAACTAGTGCATTGTTTTCTCCCTGAGTCCCGCGTAGGAAGACAGGAGCTGGAGATGGACTGGCCATCGCGTCCACCCTTCCATTTCGAAGAGTGGGTGCCTGGGGCCAGGGACGGGCGTGTCACTCACAGACACTGCACTCGGGTGGCTGCTGGGCCGTGCTCCCTGAGACCCCGCGGCCCAGTGCTGGGCTGGACCCCTCGCGCCTGTGCACGTGGTTAGCTCCCCTGGAATGTGGGTTTCCTGCCTTGTTGCGGCGTGTCAGCCTGCTCCCAGCGTGTTGGAACCGCGTATCCCTCGCTGTGTGTCTGTGTGTGAGTTTCACAGGCTTCAGCCGCGCCTGCTCTTTCCTGCTCGAGATCTCTGGCTTTTCAGCTGCAGCTGCCATTCTAGGAAACCGAACTTGCCGTATGGTTACAGGTCCCAGTTGAATTCTTTTCCTTCTGTTAGGAAGGAAGGAAGGCGCACTTCAATTCCCAGAGCCCTTCCAGGGCCGGGGTCGTGGGCCGGGGGGTCTCGAAGATGCAGGTGGGGAGGGGCTGCGGGGGGTGCTCCCTGCACCCCCGTATGCGTCCTTGGGTTCCCCGGGGTCCTGGCATCTCACTGGGGAGCAGCCGTCTTGCTGCCCTGCCTGTAGGGGGCGTTGGACGAGCCCTCGAGTGACAGCCCCTCCCCTGTGCAGCGCAGGCACCAGGCACAGCCCCTCACTGCAGGCGTCGGGCAGGTCATCCTCCGCGGGGCCATCCCAGGCAGCCCCCGCCCCATCTCTCAATGCCAGTGGTGACAACCACAAATGGCCCCACATACCGCTCCGGGGGTACCCCTGGGTTAGGGGGTTCCATTGAAAATTCATTCCCTTGGTGTTTGGGAGAACCTAGTCTTGTTAAAAACTCCCGACAACTCCCTCGTTAAGTATCTAACACAGGCTGCTTATATCTGTGAAAGTGTGAGAAACTTAAACAGGTGTAGTAAACAGAAGTGCTGTCGGCGTGAGGGGGGAGGTGCTGACCCTACTCTCTGCAGAGCCGGGGTGTCGGCCGTCGTCCCCTTCCACCCGACCAGCAGAGTGGGAGCCCTTTCTGCCTGAGCATGGCCCTCAGCACCCCGGCTGTCCCCCCACCCACTCAAGTTAGGCCAAGGGGTAAACATGGAGGCCCCCCCACCCCCGGCTAGGACAGGGAAGGGGCGGCCCAGCCGTGGGGCGGTGGGACTTCATTGCATCCACGGGTTGGGAGTGAGGCGGCCTTGGTCCCGCCCGCCTCTCTCTGCTGTGGTAGCCCTTTCCCTACCCAAGGCCTGCAGGGCACCGCTGCCCGAGACTTTGACCCGTGAGCCGACCCCTCCGCCCTGGTCTCGAGGCCCCATGATGCCGCGCTGGTCTCGAGGCCCCATGATGCCCCTGGGACCTCTGCCCCCTCCCACGAGGCCCGGTGGCTTGTTCCGAGCTCGGCAGCGGCCAGCGGCTATCACCTGCCTCTTTCAGCTTCGAAAGCATGCAGAGGCTCTGTGACAAGTACAACCGGGCCATCGACAGCATCCACCAGCTGGTATGTGGCCTTCACCCGCCCCTCGGGCCCGCCTCCTCCTCCAGGTCCACGCTGTGCTTCAGGACCCTGTTGCCTGTCGAGTCTCCTGGGTGCTTCAACCCGGCCCCTGAGGCCCTGGGAGTGCAGAGCCTGCAGCACCCCAGGGCGTTGGACCCTGTAGTGGGTAGGAGGTGGGGAACCGCAGCCGCTGTGACGCAGACGGTCGGGACTGAGCGGCCTCATTACTTCCAAAGGGGTCCCGGGCCCTGGTGCGCCCCCCGGGGGCCATGGCAGGCGGGCGGGTGACAGGGAGCCTCCCTGGGGCTTCTCCGTCCTTCACCCACCCCTCGGGCACTCTGGGCGCTGGGACAGACCAGCTAGGAGAGGGGAGCTATGCTGGGGAGCTCACACTGCTTGGGTCCAGGGGTGCACACGTGTGCACACGTATCCCTGCACGGGTACATGCATGCATGCAGGTTCATACTACACACATCCACACACAGGCTCACACACACGCTCCCGCACACATGCGTCACCATTGGGGGCAGCGGCACGGCCGGCGGGGCGGGGCCCAGGTGGACCAACTGGCGCCCCCTGTGCCGCAGTGGAAGGGCACCACGCAGCCCATGAAGCTGAACACGCGGCCGTCCACGGGGCTCCTGCGCCACATCCTGCAGCAGGTCTACAACCACTCGGTGACCGACCCCGAGAAACTCAACAACTATGAGCCCTTCTCCCCGGAGGTGTACGGGGAGACTTCCTTCGACCTGGTCGCCCAGATGATCGACGAGATCAAGATGACCGAAGATGACCTGTTTGTGGACCTGGGTAGCGGTGAGTGTGGGCCACGCCCATGTGCCCGCCGGGAGGGGTCCGGGGCAAGTGCTAGGCAGTGGGGGGGGCCCTGACCCTGCAGTCCTGAGTCAGCACACCCCTCTCCCCACCCGGCAGGCCGCAAACCAAGCCCGCCTTTCCGGTGCCCAGAAAGCTGCCCCTTCACTCCTGCTAAGCCAGCCTGAGAAGGTCCATGGGCTCCGCCCAGCCGCCAGCACTGAGCTGCGGCTCTGCTTCTCACCCCCCCCACCCCACCCCCCAACCCCCGGCCTGCTCCTGCTGAGAGGAGAGCCCTGCTCCCTGTGCTTCCAGGCCTCGTGGCCGCACTCCCTCCTGCTCCCTCCCGGGCCTGGGGCTGCTCCTGGCTCTTGGCCCACAGGTGGCCCCAGGGACCACCGAGGCAGACCAGCCCCCACCTTGCTGGCGGTCCCTCCCCTCTTCCCGCACTCACCAACCCAAGCGGCCCCTCTGCTTGCTCACGGGGTGTCCTTCTGCACAGAGTCGAGACTCCTGGGGGTAGGGCCTGGCAGGCACACACGTGGCACACCGTGCTGCCTGAGTAAGCATTGGGCTGACTGGTTCCTGGTGGGACCCATGAGGTCACAGGCTGATGGGGGGCTGTCCGGCATGTTGTTGGGCGGCTCCATCAGGAACCCCCAGCACAGCCTGCTGGGGCATTTCTGCCATCCCATGTGACCTGCTCACAGACCCGAAAGTCCCGTCTCAGCCGGGCAGGGGCCCTGCAGATGGGGACGAAGATGGCTTCTTACGTGGTGTCATCATCGGTTTAAGTCCTTTTTAAGTGTATGATTCATATTTTGATAAGAATGCACGTACTTCAAAGGTCATTTCTCTAAAAGCCTGTAAAACTCCCCTAGTGTCAAAAGGCTTATAATTTCTGAGAAGCGCCAGCCTCCTCAGGCCGAGCTCTCCACGCCTTCCCCCTGTCCCCTGGGAGGGACCGCTCGTCCTCTCCCCTGTTCACCCCGTGTTTCTGAATAGAGGTTTGTTTTCATCATTGGAGTACATTCTATTCAAAATGGGAAGTCAAGGGGCTCCTGACACTTTATTTAAAGTGCAACTGATCTAAGTTCAAGGAGAGACCATTTAAAAAGCTTCCTTTTGTCGTGAAGGCTAAATGCCTGCAGACTCTGCCTGCGTCCTGCTGGTGTGTGTGTGCGGTGCGGGGCTCTCCCGCCCCCTCTCTGAGCCCGCTTCAGACTCGGCTGAGGATGCGAACTGGCCATGTAGTGGAACAGTGGTGTGTCCAGGGCGGGCGGGAGCCTTCCCGAGGGGTTCCTGAGTTCCACATAGCTGGGTCTGTGTCTGGACAGTTAATGCCATGTGGGGCCGTGGACCAAGGACGGATTCTGGTTGAGGGGCTGTGGAGTGTTGTCCTTGGATGATGAAGTGAAACCCAGATGGCTGTCCCCTGGTGGCGGCTCAGCCCACGGCCTGGGGCATTTGAACACATTCTGTGACCTCGGAGAGCGCTCGGGCACCTTCGCTGAGAGCCCGTGGCCTCTGCCTGGTGACCTTGTGGCCATCGCCCCAGTGGCTGGGGTGTGGCCTCTGTCACAGTGCACATCTGACACCTGCTGCTGTCTCTCTCTCTCTCTCTCTCTCTCTCTCTCTCTCTCTCTGAAGGAGTGGGCCAGGTTGTGCTGCAGGTCGCTGCGGCTACCAACTGCAAACATCACTATGGTGTCGAGAAAGCTGACATCCCGGCCAAGTACGCGGAGGTGAGCGCTTCTGGGCTCCGGGCATGGTTGCATCTGTTGCTTTTCTTTCTAACCTTGGTTTGTGGTGGCCTGTGGGGCAAGGGCGTGGCCTGTACCGGGGGTCAAGGGGAGGGGAGTTCCCCCAGCACCGTGGGGTCAGCTGGCATCACCCTTGTGCCGGCGTCTGCCTGGGGGGCGGCAGGGTCTGGGGAGAGCACACGTCTGAGCGGTGTCATCCCCACAGGAACGTGTTTAGAGTTGTGGTTCGCACGCCCGCTGACTCGGGTTCCCTGTGGTTGGGAGCCTTTGCCAGGAACCCTGGAGCGGGCGGGCGAGGGGAGGAAGGGGGATTGGGGAGCCGTGGGTGCCATCCCGGCTGCCTGGTTCCTGATGGGCTGTCTGGTTTGGCTCCCTTGCAGACCATGGACCGAGAGTTCAGGAAGTGGATGAAATGGTATGGAAAAAAGCATGCAGAATACACAGTGAGTGCCACCGCTCCATGCCCCGTGGCTGCTGGTGCAGTGCCTGCCCTGAGCCTCCGCCCCCGGGGGCGGGGGCAGCTACCCCACCCGGAGCCCCCTCCCCACCGCTTTCCACCCTCTGCCGGACACTCTCATCCTCCCTCCTGGGGGCCCTTGCAGGCGCTCAGAGAACAGAGGTGGCCCACGTGGTGTTTCTCTTCCTCAGCCCCCCAGGCACTGTCAAGGCCTCAGAGCACCGGCTCTTTCAGAGGCAGCGCCCCTCCCGGGTTGGCACGTGGGGGCGGCAGGGGGCGGGCGAGGCGGCCTCTGCCCCGTCCGCGGGCCGGCTGAGGGCATCTTTCTCCTGCTTGCCCCCCGCAGCAGCGTGGGGCCCAGCGGATGAGTCCCCCGGCTGTCCCGGTGCCGCCTGCCCCTCTGCCCCTCACTCAGCATCGCTCAGCCCGGCCTTTCGACGCCGAGGTTCCTCGGGTCTCGCTCCTGGATCCTGGACGCTCTGGCCTCTCTCTCTGCTCCTCCTACCCAGGGTGTCCGCGTCCGCATCCTCGGCTCGAGTGCGTTTCTGTGCTCAAGGCTTCATCAGTCTTTCTGCCAGGTTTCGGTTGCCTGTGGACGCACGGCCGCCATGCAGCCACCATCCCCTGGGCCGCTGCTGGGGCATCGCAGGGGGCGGGGTCCGCAACCGGATCTTCACCACACCCACCACTTCCCATCTCACGCCCCCCAGGTCACTTAGACCCCAGCTGGCTGCGACGTGGTCCTGACGCCCCCTCCCGGAGTTCCTTGCCGTGCTCGCTGCTCTCCCTGCGCCGTCCTGCGGGCAGGGTTGTGGGGCCAGAGTCGGCATCCCTGTCGCCTCAGGGACTCAGAGTGGGTCACGTAATTGTAGGTGGGAGGCGGATGGGAGCGCAGGAAAGGGGGCTCCAGGCTCTTAGAACAGCCTAGCCATTTCTCCTTTCATGGGTCGTGCCCTCGGTGTCGTGTTTAAAAAAGCCAAGCCTCAGCTCACCTAGATTTACCCTCACGGTATCGTATAGGAGTTCTGTGGCTGTGCGTTTTGCCTGTAGGTTTGTGGTTTCTTTCTGGTTACTTCTTGCGGAGGGCGTGAGGTCTGCGTCTACATTCATTTCTCCGTGTGCAGACATCCAGTTGCCCCGCCCTGTCTGCTGCAGGGCTGCCTCTCTCTGTTGAGCCGTCTTTGTTGATTCGTCCGAGGCCAGCGGCCGCTCCGCTCCGTCCCACGCTCTCCCCGTGTGCTCTCTCAGTGGCACTGCAGTGTCTTGACAGCTGCGTCTTCGTGAGAGTCAGTCCTGAACCGCGTGGCATCGGGCCTCCAGCCTCGTTCTCCTCCTTCAGTGATGTGCTGGCCACTCTGGGGGGTTTGGACTTGACTTCTGTCTGCGCTGTGCTGACATACATCCATGCCCTCATCCTGCAACCTTCCTGTAGTTACTGTGTTAGTTCCAGGGTTGTCGTCGTTTTCGTTGACTCTCTTGGATTTTCTACATAGACGATACCATCACCTTTGAACAAAGGCACTTTTATGTCTTCTCTCCCAGTCGGTACCCTTTCCTTTTCTTGTCTTATTGCATTAGCCGGGGCTTTTACTGTGGTGTTGAGGAGCAGGGATGAGAGGGCACATCCTTTTCTTGCCCCTGACCTCAGCAGGAAAGCCTCGAGCTTCTCACCATGGGTGTGATGTTAGCTTTGGGATTTTTCTGTGGACGTTCTTTCTAAAGTTGACGCGGTTCACCTCTGTTCTTATTTTAGTTCCGGAAATCTTTATTGTGAATGGGTACTGGGTTTTGTTAAAGCTGCTTTTGCATTGTGTGATTTTCCTCTTTGGCCTGTTGAGGGGACAGAGTACAAAGGCTGATGTACTTCCATGCCCGGGGCAAGTCCCACCTGGCCCTGGGGTATAGCTCCTATTTTGTTGAGGGTATTTGCAGCCAAGAGGGATGCTGGTCTGTAGTTTTCCTTTCTCGTGATGCCTGGCTTTGGTATCAGGGTGGTGTGGCCTCGTGGTGTGAGCTCGGCTGTGCCCTCTCTGCCTCTGCTCTGCTGTTCTTGGACCAGGACTTGCACATCTACAGGCTGGGCCCAGCTCCCCTCCCCTTCTTCCTGGTGGGATTTCTTGCACGATTCTCTCCCCTCAGTGAAAAGCGAGGGGTGTATCCTCTGGCCTCCTGTGTCCCTCCTGCATCTGAAGTCCTCTGGTGTTCGTTGCTCAGGCTGACGGCAGTCAGTCCAGTTGGTTTCTGTTTCCAGGAAACTTCTTCCTGCCCAGTCCCTAGATCCACTGGCATGCTGCTAAGAGTTCCTGGATGGTTTACCATTTTCCTAAGACCTTATGACCTCCTAAAACATAGGTTTTTAAATTTAACAAGTGCCTCCTGCTTCTGGTGAGAGGGCCAAGCAGTTCAATCCCCTAGCGTAGAAGTCTGCATCGACACAGGCCCCGGGGTGATGGATCCGCGAGCAGCCCTCGCTGCTTTATACGGAGTGTGGTTCTAGCTGTTAGTACAATCCCCACGACTGGAGGGAGAGGCGGGGGTGAGGCTGGTGGGCTGCCCGCCCTGGCGGGTCACCTCTCCTCCCTTCCTCCCCTCGTCACCTTTGGGCGGCAGCGCCTGGCCTGGTGGGTGTTTGGGGGTCAGTGGCACGTCAGCTGGCTCATTGGCGGGGCTCCGTGTGTGTAAACCTTCTCGCTCTTTGGCCTCGTGAGGTCCAGGGCGCTTGTCAGTTGCCCTTGCTCTGTGGCCTCGCGAGGTGGCTGTGAGCAGAACTCGGCTCAGAGGACTCTTGGTCGTGGCCTTGGCGGCCGTGTCCGGAGCGGCAGCCAGCTGTGCCTCTGGCGTCCACGTGGCCCTGCTCCAGGAGGGTGTGGCGACAGCCCCTGCCCAACGCCTGGATTTGGCAGGAGCTTGCCGGCTGGGTCTGGAAAGGTGCCCTCACTGCGGCTCTCTGTGGCTGGGAGCAGGTGCCCTGGTTGGCGGGCAGGTTCCTGCCCCTGTCACTTAGTAACTGAGGGGAACAAAGCCAGCAGGAGCCTCCGAGCCCAGTGTGTTTCCTGGCGTCTGAGCCGCCTCTTCAGTCCCTGCCCGGCCCTGGAGCCCACAGCTCTCCTCCCGTCGGAGGCCCTGGGCCCTCCCTACGCCCGGCTTCTGCCTGTGTCTGTCACACCTCTGGGCGCCCCCTCTGCCTGGCGACAGCCGGGTGACCCCGTGCTGTCGGCCCCTGGCAGTGGGCCTGGCGCACAGGTTTCCCTTGCCTGGGGCGGTGGCGGCCTCACAGAAGTGCCATGTGGGGAGGTGCCCCCGGCCAGGTCCCCAGGCAGGCAGTGGCAGCCCCTGTGCCTTTGCGGGCTGGGGTCCGTTCTTCTCTCTTATGCCCGTGTGCGTTTCTCCACACTGGAGGTCTTGGTTATCTTGGGGCCAGTCATGGGTCCTTGGTGGGGGTGACATCTTCCTGGCACGGTTAACTCGGGCACACTGGCCCCAGCAACACAGAGCCGACTCAGCCAGTCTGTGTCAAGAGGCGAATGGCGGCGGGGCCGGGACAGTGGCCGTTTTCTTGCCTTGAACATGAGGCCACAACAGAGCAGTGGTGCTGTGGCTTGGATGGGTGAGCCCCCATGGAGAGAGAAGCCACATCAGGACGAGCCTGCGGGACCCCAGGACGCAGCAGACGTCGTCCTCACATTGTGGTTTATTCAGAGACAGGATGGAGCAAAACCAGCAGAGGGAAGAGGCGTAGGGTGGGTCCAGGGGGCCAGGCGCAAGCTTCCAGACTCTATAGGAGGCGCTTCACTCCCCCAAACGAGACGTGACAGCACGAGCGAGGTGCGCGCCCCAGGGAGGCTCACAAGACCCAGTGCCCGGGGGCTGTGGTCTGCTCTCTTGGCCACAGAGACCCAGCCCAGGGTTCTCACTGGGGGCCGGTCAGCCGAGACCCCAGACTCCGGGAGGAGAGCAGGTGCCCGTGTGGACCCCGTGTTTTCCCAGAGAGTGTGCGGACAGGGAGCCCCCGAGGTCGGGTTCCAGACACCGAGCGCCCTTCCCAGGACACGGCCTCAGGCCTGCAGCTTGAGCGTTTTCCTGTGCGGCATCGTAAGGACTTTGGACTTGGGTCAGTGCCCCGAGCCTGCCGGGCTGTGCGCAGGGAACCGTGGCAGCCTCACGAGGGGAGAGGACCCAGCGAGCAGACGCGGACGTCTGGGACGTAGACCTCCCACAGCACCCGGGTGTTTTAGGACGGCCATCTCCCTTCTGCCCTGCGGGGCTCGGCCCCTCATGCCCCTGGGTGACTCCTGTGTGCTGGAGGGCGCCGGATGTGGCAGCTGCTCTGCCTGGGCGCCGTGGCACTCACAGGCTCCTACGCTTGGGGTCTTCCCTCCTGCCCGTCCCCAGACAGACTCAGGGGCCAGCCCTGCTGGGCGGCGCTGCCCCATCGCTGCCTGGAGGGCCTCCGGTCACCTGGTGGCTTGTGGGGTGCAGATGGGGGCCGCCAGCAGCCACCTCCACCCTCCCCCAGAGACGCTCTGTCTGTGGGGCCGCCTGTCCTGGACGTTTCCCATCAATGGAATCACACACCGTGTGTCCTTCTGTGTCTGGCTTCTCTCACTGAGCATCGTGTTCTCAGGGTCCGTCCACGTTGCAGCGAGTGTTGGGTCTTCACCCCTTTTTATAGCTGGGTGATGCTCCCATGTGTGGAGGGACCACAGGGTGTTTATCTGTTCACGTTCATGATGGACACGTGGGTTCCCACCTTTGCTGCTGCGGACGGGTGTGCAGGTTTTCCTGTGGAGGTCTGTTTTCATTTCTCTGGGGTGGACACCCAGGAGTGGGATGATAGCCTTTTTTTGAAGAATTATAAAGCCAGATTTCTTGGTTTGTTAAATGGTACAGTTCTGGGCAGTTAGGTTAATAAGGTCTGAGTTGTCTCAGGCAGACTTTGGCCTTGAGGCACAATGAGATTAGTCGGCTAACAAAGATAGTGGTCAGAGCAGTGCTGAGGGCGTAAGGACAGCCCTGCTGCCCAGGAGACAGGCGAGGTGGTGCAGGAGAGCTGAGCCCTTGCGGCGTGTGCTCTGTCCAGCACGGCCGCCTCGGGGCGCCCCCTGCTGGCCCTGCATGGGCATGGCGTGGTCTCGGCCTCTCCCCGCCGTCCCCTTGTGGGAGCCTGGCCCCAATGCCACCGCCCCGCCGCGGCCTCCCCACTCAGGGCCTCTGCTCATTCCATCTCTTCTTTGGGGGGCAGGCAGGGGTGGGGTGCAGAGGCGAGCGAGACCCCTGAGTGATGGGCTATCCCTCTTTTCTCCTTTCAGCTGGAGAGAGGAGATTTCCTCTCGGAGGAGTGGAGAGAGCGGATCGCCAACACGAGGTACGGCCGGGCCAGAGTGAGGCTGCGAGGGCCACGGGGGCCTGCTGGGCAAGGCAGGATGGCACGGGGTGGCACAGCTCCCCATCCCCCCCCCCACCCCGGGTCGCTCCCCCTCCCCGGGGGTCATCCCAGCAGGCAGGGGCTGGAGAGAGCAGGGAGGGCCCGGAGAGTGCGGGGAGGGCCCGGGCTCAGTGCAGGTTCCTGCTCTCGGGCCTCCCCGGGATGGACGGTAGCACCGTGGCAAGCAGTCTCCAGGCCGACACCGCCGCGTGTCCTGAGCTTGCCGGCAGCTCTGCCTCCATGGCTCCTTCCCTTGTCCTGCCCAGGCCTGGGGCCGGGGAGCGGGCTGGACCCCGCGCTTGCGCACCTGGCGGCAGCAGTGGCAGCACCTGTGGAGCGCGAGGTGCTCGTGTGGCTCAGTGGGGGTGGCCGGGCCTTGGTGACTGCGGGGCGGGCGTGTCACTCTCTCAGCTCTCTGGCGGGGCTCGGGTCACACCATTTCCCTTCGACCTCGTGGTCTGGCCTCCCCCCCTTCTTTCTGCATGTGCTCGCTGCATGGCGCCCCGAGGCCCCACCACTGGGTTCCGTGCGGGCAGGTAGGGAGCAGGCGTCCCTCGTTCACAAAGGCCTGTCCTCGTCTCGCTCTCCTGTGAGAATGTCTCACCTGATTTGGGCACGCCGTCCCCCTTTTCTTGAGGGGACCGTGCTGACCCCGTGGGTGTCCCCATCAGATCAGATGGGGTCGGGGGACTCTGGAGCAGCTGCTGTGGGGGCCTCTCCCATGGGGGGCATCCAGCAGCTGTGGCCTGGCAAGGAAGAGCTCGCCCAGAGCACCGCGAGGCCCCAAGGCCGGGCTCTGCCAGGGCCCCCAGACGGTGTCCCCCAGACGGCGAGCGCCCTAGGCGCTTTGCTTCCTGTTGGAGGCGTCCCCGCCCTGATGAGCTCCTCTGCGCTCAGGGGTCTTCATCCTGGCTTCTGCGGGCCTCAGGGAGCTTCCTTGTTTCCTCTCGGGTGACTCTAGTTCGGGCAGCCCAGGGTCTGTCCTGGCTTACCCCCTCTACCCACCTTGGCCACCTTGAGGCCCTGGCGTGCAGCCTCCCCAGGCTCCGTCCCAGAGCAGGGACCCCTCCAGGCCGGCCCCACTCCCTGTCGGAGCCTCCCCAGCTCGCCGCTCTCATCAGGGCTCTGCCCGTCGGCCCCAACCTGAACCGCACCGCATCTGGGTTTCTTTCCAAGCAGTCGGCAGCGAGAGAGCTTGGCTTACACCTTCAGTGCTTCTCCTACTGCCCGTGGCCATCCTCACCCCGGTCAGATCTTCCGTTACTGTCCTAGTCCCGAGATTCCAGTCAAGTGGCGTGGAATGGCAGACAGCATGCTGCTGCCCATCATGTGCAGATGGGGAAGGGATCCCTGGTGGGGGTCCTCCGTGGGGGCAGGAGCCAGCGGGCAGAGGAGGGGACAGGTTGGGGGCCTGTGCAGGCAACAGCCTCCCACCACCCGGTGGGCGTCTTCAGGCAGCGCTTCTTCGGGCCGTCGGGTGCCAGAGAACGTTTGAGAAACGGGAGAGGATGGGCCAGGCCCTGCCTCGGAAGAACTTGGCGCTGGGCCCCCGGGTGGTAGTGCAGCTTGATGGGTCTGTGCTGCTTTCCTGCCCGGGTGTTCTCGCACCTCTCTGCCCAGGTGGCGCTCGAGCTGCCCGCTTTCCAACCCCGGGGCACCGGAGGGGCAGGCGGGGCAGCCCGTTGCCCTGGGCCTGTGTCCGTGCACGCCTTCCCAAGGAAGCCAGGGGGCTGCTTGTCGCGGTGTCTGTGTTCACGGCACCCAGGGTGGCAGTCACAGCCTCTGGGCCCTGGCACCCGTCCCCAGGCTGGGCGGAGGTGGTGCGGGCAGAGGCGGTAGGCGGCGTAGGCGCGGCGGCTGTGTGTGTGTGTGCAAGTAGAACCTCCTTTCACTCAACTGGAATATTATTTTGCAGTGTTATATTTGTGAATAACTTTGCCTTTGGTCCTGAGGTGGATCACCAGCTGAAGGAGCGGTTCGCAAACATGAAGGAAGGTAACAGACTCCCCCCCCACCCCCCACCCCCACCCCGTGCATCCCGCGTCTGCGCCTGCTCGGGGCTCTGCAGCTGTGGCCCTGATCGCAGGTGGTGGGGTCCGGACTGCCGTTGGGATCGGCCCTGGTGGGAAGGCCTCAGGCAGCGGGTCCCGTCCATGGTGGTTCTCACCGTCACCTAGGTTGTGGGAGGGTGCCTCACAGCTCAGCGTGTGTGGTGGAATAGACCCGACGCCTCCCCCGCTCAGGCCCCAGCTTGCAGCTGCCGGAAGGACTGGGGCGGGGGCCAGATTAGCAGGGGAGCTGCAGGCTGTCTGGTTCGTTCGGTTGTGGAGACAGGGAGTGACTTCTTAGTTCAAGGACGTCCTGCCTTCTAAAGGATTCTTCACGGTGTATGGGAAACTGAAACTTGATTGGGTGTCCCCACGCGATCTGGAACCCTAACTTGAGGGCGCTGAGGGCACGGGGGTTCCCCTGGCCAGCCCGTGCGGCCTTTGCTGGTCGGGTCTTTCCCGTACTTGGACCCGGGCTGCCTGGCTAGCGCCGCTCCCGCTGCTTCCCCTTCCCCCTCACACTCGGTCCCCAGGCCAGTCGAGACCCGGACGCCGGAGGGGACCTCACCCTTCTTGTGTCCAAGTAGGAGGGGCATGTTCTCCCGTGCTTATGAAAGCGTTTAGACTCACAGGTTACCTTGGGCGACGGGAGCTCCTGGTGTCTGAGCAGACTCTCCTCTCCTCAGGAACGCGGGCAGGGGTTGTTAGGTCTTCTTGTGTCCCGAGCTCCTCCCTCTGGCGTGGTGAGCTTGAGCAGGGTGGTCCCCAAGTGAGATCCCTCCAGGCCACTGAAGGTGCAGGGAGGGAGCTGCGTCGAGGTCTCGGTTTAGCCACCAGAGTGGGTTGCGCCTGCCCAGGCCCAGCAGCACACATGAGGTGTCCCTCAGCTGTGCTTGGGGCATCCTCGTGCACATGGAGCATCAGACCGATGCAGACACCTGGGTGGGAGCCTTCTACACAGCTGGGAGCTGACCAGTTTCTTTGAACCTAGTTTGTGTTCTCGTGCCCGCCCCTGGGTCCCGTGGTGAGTTGCGCTTAGGCTCAGAGTGGGAGAGCAGGTCCGGTGTGTTCCAGGAAGAGGAGACGGAGGAGTGGCTGCTTCCTCAGGCCGTCCTCCCCAGTCCGCCTCCCTCAGAAAGCTGGGCACTTTCTGTCCCAGCACCATCGATGGTCCTGACAAGCAGGGCAGCAGTGGGGGACCCATGCAGGGCCCACATTTCCCCTTGTCCTGTGCCCTCGCGCCTGCTTCTCACCTGCTGCTTTGTTTCTTCCCCGTGGGGAGGCCGGTAGCTTCCCATGTGTGGTGAACACTCAGGATGACGGCGGCTCCGTCTGTGCCCTGTGACGCGCTCTGCTCCAGGAGCGTGGTGGTCATCCCACCGCTGGTGGAGTCGCGGGCTTCTTTCCCTGGACGTCCAGTCGCACACGGCCGGGCTCTGGTCCTCGGCCGGGGGCTGTCGCCACCCGTGTGAGAACTCCAGCCTCGGGTGCCCATCCTTCTCGGGGTCCTCCTGGCAGGACGGGACCAGTCTCCTGGGCCCCCCGTGGGCTATGACCTCAGCGTGAGGTCGGATATGCTGCCCCACATGCCCACGGCCCCGCTGGGCTCTACCCGCTCCCTTTCCTGGGGCCTGGCCGGGGATGCAGCCCTGACAGTGTGTCCCCATGCTTCTCCAGTCGTGACATGAGATGGCAGGAGTCACCTGTCCTGCAGGGAGGTCTCCAGAAAGCGTCTTCATCCTTGGGCTCATGAGGGTGGCTTCTCCGGCCGCTGCTGCTGCCCCGATTCCCACGTCAGGTCTTCCCTGACGTGCCGCAGGAGCCCCGGCAGGGCAGATGTGCTGCGCTCTGTCCTGCCCGCCCCCCCACTGCTCCCTGTCCCCGCAGCTGCGGGGAGGCCCCCGTGCCATCCTGATCTCTATGGCCGGGAGACAGAAACGGGGTGTGTCCCCCAAGTTTTGTTATGAAACATTTCAAGCAAACAGGAGAGGGGAAAGGATCACCCAGCATGGACGCAGAGAGTTTCCAGCTGCCCTCAGCACCGCCGGCTGCGTGTGTGTTTGCGTGTGTGTGTGTGCAGGTGAGCATGAGCCTGAGCGTGTGGCAGGGTCACTCCTGATGGTTTTGTGGGAACGAGCGCCCTGCCCGGGCCCCTCTCCTGAGCACTCGGCGCCCATCCCCGCGCCCCACGCAGGAGAGGAGCGTGGATTCCTGCTCTGCCAGCTGCCACAGGCACCTCTTGGGCTGTGCAGTCCCGACTCTCTAGCCTTAGGGCCTCGGGTCGTGGCCCCTCCATCTTTGTGGACGCGGCCCGCTGGGCATCGGGCCTCATTGTCTCGTGGGATGTCGCCCGTTCTTCACTCATCCCTCGTGGTCATCTTGACCTTGCCCTCCGCACCCCGTGTCCCACCTGAGTGCCTGGGTGTTGCACGCGGCTGGCTCGGGGCCCCTGGTGACATGCCCACAGAAGTCCCCTCAGGTTACCTGTTGTCCCGGAAGCCTTGCAGGGGACACATTCCTAATTTGAGCGTCCTCCCTTCGACACTCTTCAGGTGCGCCCAGGGGACCCCCTCAGCCTCTGGCTGCTATGACTTTGCTGTCACAACCAGCCGACTGCCCAAACTCGCCCCTGGCCAGCCCGGGACCTGGCATCGCCGCCTCCTCGGGGTGGGGGGCGCCCAGAGGCCAGGCTGGGGCTCGGGGAGCCGTGAGCACATGCGCGAGCAGAGGGCTCATCCTGACTGCTTCAGTTTACTCACCACGCGTTTTCTTTGACTTCTATATTTGGTTCTGTATTTCCTACGCTGGAACGTTCTGGTGTATTACGTTTCCTGACAGTGTTTCATACAGGATGGGGGAAGCGTCTGTAACCTGAGGGTGACATCATCAATCATGGTGATCTCACTGCAAGAGGCTGCGAGTCCTTGTGGTTCTTTTCCCTACAATGACTGCACACGTGCCGGGAGTTAATTGGAAAAACTTTTCTGTGCAGCTGTTCCCGACCTGACCCTTCCGCATTCTGTCTGTGTGGGGTTAGGGCCCGGTTCTGCCTTAGGTTCTGTCTGTTCCTGTGGATCAGGACCCAGTTCTCCCTCAGGTTCTGTTTGTGTGGAGTCTGGGCCCGTTCTCTCTGAGGTCCTGTTTCCCTGGAGTCGGGCCTCGTCCTGCCTCAGGTTCTGTCTGTGTGTGTGGATCAAGACCTGGTTCTCCCTCAGGTTCTGTTGGTTCTGTGTTAGGGCCTGGTCCAGCCTTAGGTTCTGTCTGTGTGTCCGGACCCGGTTCTCCCTCAGGTTCTGTCTCTGGGGTCAGGGCTGGTTCTGGTCCGGGCCTGGTGTGGGTGTGGCGCATCTAGACAGTGCAGAAGTTGTAGAGGGGGTGCCCAGTGGGCCCCACGACGAGACCCAGGGGACTGTGAGGCCCTGAGCACGTTTTGCAGGAAAGCAAATCGTGAGATGGGTCGGAGCCCTCAGGCGCCGCTTTCTTTGCTTTTAGCTGTGAGGTTAGCTCAGGACTCCCAGTCCCTCGGCTTTTCTGTGTTCAGAGGGCTGGTTTCTCTGGATGCTTTTGCATCCTGGTGCTCTAAGCTTCACCAGGCTCTTGCTCGTATCGCGCACTGGTGTCCCCACGGCCAGCACTGATCCCTCTCTGTGTTTTAGGTGGCAGAATCGTGTCCTCGAAGCCCTTTGCACCTCTGAACTTCAGAATAAACAGTAGAAACTTGAGTGGTAAGAGCTCTCGTGTTGCCGAGTTCTTAACACATGTAATTATGAGCATCTGCCGTGGGTTAAAGCGGGGTCACCCGCCAGCAGTGGTGACGGCGGGGGGCGTCCCGGGTGCTGTGGGATGTGGAGCGGTGGCCGCACTCACTCCATGCGGGAGTCCCCCAGTTGTGACAACCCCAGACATCCCCAGACATGGCCCTGGGCAGGACTGTGGTGCCGGGACCCAAGGGAGCAGTGACAAGGACAAGCAGCGGTGTGTGCGAGCCCGTGGGGTGGCAGGACCCTCAGGCGCTGGGCATCCTTGCGGCTGCTTGGTTGCCACATTGGCCCCCACGGGCCTTTGGAGCCCGCCCTGTGGGCTTATCGCCCTTGTCCTTGGCCAGGTGCCTGGGTGTGGGGAGGGCCGTGGGCACCTCCCCAGCTGGCAGTTGGGACACGCCTGGGACCTGAGCCCCGCCATACCCCTCCCCCTGGTGCCCTGGCAACCCCTGACCCCTGCGCCCTGTTGTGCGCAGACATCGGCACCATCATGCGCGTCGTGGAGCTGTCGCCTCTAAAAGGCTCGGTGTCGTGGACGGGGAAGCCGGTGTCTTACTACCTGCACACCATCGACCGCACCATAGTGAGTGGCACCCCTTCCTCCCCGACCCGCCTCTCAGCGCTCACCGCGCCCGTCACTGCCTGACGTCGGTGGGTCTGGGGTGTGGCTCTTGTCCTGACAGGGTTTTCCATTGCTAATGAGACGTTTTCTTTTCCTTTTCCATTTTTAGCTTGAAAACTATTTTTCTAGTCTGAAAAATCCAAAACTCAGGGTAAGTTTGTGTATTTGTCCTTGATCTCTAAGCTGACCAGGGCCCGAGGCATCCCGAGTAGCCGGGCGTGGGCCTGGGCGCTGGGGCTCCCTGGCTGCGGCGGCCACGTCTTGAGCAGCTGCACCCTGGCCACGTTTCTTGAGAGATTTGGGGGGAGATAGGTTGGAGTTACAGCCTTTCAAAATGTCCCGCGGCCTCGTGCTCATCACTTTGTCTCTGAACCTCGTGGGACGTCTGTCCCAGTGACTTTCTCTTTGGAGGCTCAGACAAGCACGTGAGCCTTGAAGGAGCCCCCCGCCCAGGCCCTTCCTGCTGTACTAGGGCCTCTGGGTCAGGGCATGGTGATGGCCACCCCCACCTGGAGACAGAGGACGGCCTTGAGGGTGGCCCTGTCCTCCCTCCTGTTGCCGTGGGTGTCCCACAGCCCTCGCCTGTGGACAGCGTGCCCCTCGGTGGGGAAGTGGTTGTGGGGACCTTGGGACCACCCGCCGCGGGGGTGGCCAGGCCAGGCCGTCCGGGGGCCCACTGGGTTCCCAGCAGAGACTGGGTGTGGGGTGTGTGTACCTCGCTTTCCCCCAGGGCCAGGGCTGCAGGGCCCCTGCAGGCAGGAGGGTCTCCGCGGTGCCCACAGTTCAGAGGACGAGCCCCCCGCTTACTCCCCAGGAGGAACAAGAGGCAGCTCGGCGCCGGCAGCAGCGGGAGAACAAGAGCAACACGACCACCCCCACCAAGGTGCCCGAGAGCAAGACGGCCATGCCCGCCGACACCCCCATGGTGAGCGCCCCGCCCCCGGCCAGATGGGGCGGCCCCGGTCTCGGAGGAGGGAGCCAGGCTGCCCCCGGGAGCCCACATCGCCGGCTGGTCCCTCATGTGGTCTTCCGCTAGGACTCTGGTGCTGAGGAAGAGAAAGCCGGGGCGACCACTGTTAAGAAGCCATCTCCCTCCAAGGCCCGGAAGAAGAAGCTGAACAAGAAGGGCCGGAAGATGGCCGGCCGGAAGCGCGGACGTCCCAAGAAGATGAGCACCGCCAACCCCGAGCGCAAGCCCAAGAAGACCCAGAGCGCACTGGACCTGCTGCACGCCCAGACTGTGTCGCGGGCGGCGTCACCCTCGCCGCAGGGTGAGTGCCTCCTCGCCCCCGCCCCGCTGTGCTCTGGGGTCCCGGGGAGCCTCACTGCTGTCCCTTTTCCTGCTGGCCCGGGCAGAAGCCACTGCGACAGCGTCTGTGCTGAGTACTCGGAGATGGGGGTGGGGGGGCTCCAGCTCCAGAGCCTCCCGAGGGCTCTCCAGGGGTCCCGTGCAGAAGCCCCGCTCAGGCAGGGCGAAGTGCCGTGGTTTGGGGTCTGGTGGCGGCTTGGCTGGGCAGCTGGGGCATCGCGCAGGGCCTGGCGTCTAGAGAGCGTGACCCGCTGTCTCCCCGCAGGCGCCCCCTACCAGCTACCTCCCAGCACGCAGCGACGCCCCCCTGAGCAGCTGCTGCTGGCGCCCGCCCCGCCTGCCCTACACCGGCTGCTAGGTGAGCCACCCCAGGGGGGCGCGGGGGGAGGCCGGGCGGACGGGGTGGCTTGTTCGCAGACCCCCTGGGAAACCCACGCTGCATGGCCAAGCGCACCACCCCCAGGGCTCAGGCTCAGTCCTGCCAGGGCACGCCTGGGCTTCGGGGTCAGCGGGGCCCGTGCGGCAGTCTGAGGCTGCAGTCCTGCCCCAGGGGAAGTGAGGCCACATCTGGGGGCATCATCACAACTGGAGGGGTGGCTCCTGGCGTCAAGAAGGTGGAGGCCAGGGATGCTGTTCCACCACCCACGGTGCCCAGGGTGCCCCGCAGAGAAGGACCCAGCCTCGTGTCTGCAGTGTCAGGGAGACCTGTCCGGGATGAGCCCGGTGCCCCGAGGGAGCAGGGCCCTGTCCTGCCGAGTCCAGCTCGTGCTCACGTGGCTGGGCTGCCTTGAGATGCCTCGTCCCTTCAGAAAGTGGATGAAGGAAACTCCTGTACAATTTTCTCAATTCAACATTGGTAGCATATGTTTACCGAGAAGACCGGCAGACTGGCTGACCACAACCCATGTGTCCTTGGGGAGAACGAAAACGCGGGCTGGGGATGGCAGGAGCTGTGAGGGTCCCCACGTGGGCGCGAGCCCCACGTGGCGGCAGGACATGCTGAGGCAGTGTGGGGACACGGGCCCCGGCACCGCTTGGGCCCTGGGGAACCTGCGCGTGGTTCCCGAACTCCACCCACCCCCGCCTCGAGCCTCAGCTGGAGGGTTTCTGAGTTAAAACCTTGTCTTGGCTCCCCTCGTAGAATCCTTCAAGATTCAGTACCTACAGTTCCTGGCGTACACAAAGACCCCTCAGTACAAGGCCAACCTGCAGCAGCTGCTGGACCAGGAGAAGGTGACCCGCACGTGGTGCTGCCAGACCCAGCTGCCCTTACCTACGGGGTCCGATGGCCCCGGGGCCGCGGCTGGCCGGGCCCTGCTGCCCCGTTTGAGGCGTCCTCGTCTGGGGACAGTGTGCCCTGCAGCCTCGGTGGCGGAGCTGGGGTGGGGGGCTGTGAGGTGCGGCCGCCCTCATGCGGGCCTGGTGCGGGCACCCCAGCTTTCCTGAGGGCGGGAAGCGTCAGGCTCTGTGGCTCCTGGTAACGTGGTGCTACGTTCCGGGGTGAGGCCCGGATGGGGGTCTGGCCAACCTCCTCACGGGTGCGTGTCTGCCACCGTGTCCGCCAGGCGGGCTGCAAGTCGGGCGGGGTGCCCTTCCCGGGGGCCTCACGCTCATGGCCCTGCCCCGCAGGAGAAGAACGCCCGGTTGCTGGGCGCCGTGCAGCAGCTGTTCGGCCACTGCCAAGCTCAGAAGGAGGAGATCAAGAGGCTTTTCCAGCAGAAACTGGATGAGGTAGGCGCCCTGCCCTGGCCACCCTGAGGCCACGCAGACGGCCCTGGTGCGGGATGGAGGGCAGGCAGGGCCCAGGGCCCAGCCGGACGTCTGGCCAAGATCCAGAGGGACTGGTGCCCTCCTGGTGCTCTTCACCTTGAGTCTCCCTGATGGAGAGGCCCGGAGGTGGTCAGAGGGAGGCTTCCTGCCTCGCGATGCCCCTGGCCCCCGTGAGAGCCCCCCTTTGCCATCGTTTGTCCTCAGCTGGGAGTGAAGGCGCTGACCTACAACGACCTGATCCAAGCGCAGAAGGAGATCTCAGCTCACAACCAGCAGCTGAGGGAGCAGACGGAGCAGCTGGAGAAGGGCAACCGGGAGCTAAGGAGCCAGAGCCTGCGGCTGGTGCGCTGGCGGGACTGGCGGTCTGCCCGAGGCGGGGCCCCCCAGGCCGGGCCGGGTCTCGGGATGGAGAGATGACCGAGGGCAGCCCCCGAGTCTGCGGCAGTGGGTCCTGGCAGCCCCCCGCCCCCCGTCCCCGTCCTCCCTCAGGATCCTCGCGGGGCGTCCAGGGGCCTCCGATGCCTCACGGCTGCCCACCCATCCCCACAGCTCAAGGCACGGTGCGAGGAGCTGAAGCTGGACTGGTCCACGCTGTCCCTTGAGGGCCTGCTGAAGGAGAAGCAGGCCCTGAAGAGCCAGATCTCGGAGAAGCAGAGGCACTGCCTGGAGCTGCAGGTAGGAAGCCTGTCGGAGGCGGGGGGGGGGGCTCCGGGCTTCAGCTGGGGCGCCGGGACCAGCGTCCTAGGCCCAGTCCCCGCCGCACCGCCCGGGCTTGCGAGCGCCTTGTTTCTGAGGCCGCCGGTGGCGGCCCTCGCTTGCACCATGAGAGCGGCTCATACTGACGAGGTGAGCAGAGGATGGTGCAGGAAGGAAGGACGGACAGATCAGCACGCAGGTGCGGGCTTTCCGGAAGCCCGTCTGCAGGCCGAGGCCTCCCACCACTTTGCGTCTCCCCAGCGAGGTTTCGTGATTTACGTGAAGCTTTCGCTGTTGCCCGGCCCTGGGGGCTCTTTCAGGGATGGGTTACTGCAGAATGGCACTGCAGTGAATTCCTCTGCACCGGAGGCTGCTCTGGAGGCTACGTCCCTAAAGACACGTGTCCCCCAAGTAGCCGTTGGAGTGGCTGTAGGTCACGGGATACGGTGTTGCGCTGCCTCCTGTGGTGGCCCGGCCCTGCTGCCAGCCTGTGTGCAGAAGTCTCAGGAGGCTGCGCGCTGGGCCCTCACGCTCCTGTGTCACCGAGAGGCGGCCCGAAGCTGTGGGCCCTTGATTCATTGTGGGGAGAGCCAAACGATGCCTCAGGCCCCAGCCCCCGGGGCCGATACCTTACCCTCGCAGTCACAGTGACAGCCACGGAGCCTGGGCCCCTCGCTTCCTCAGGCCGGCGCGTCTGCCCGTCACACTAGCCGGCCCACGTCCCTGTCGCTCTTGCACGACCATCCCTGCCAGTGAGGTGCTGGGCATGGGGCCTCTCAGGCCTGACGCCTCCTCTCGTCCCCCAGATCAGCATTGTGGAGCTGGAGAAGAGCCAGCGGCAGCAGGAGCTCCTGCAGCTGAAGTCCTGCGTGCCGCCCGACGACGCCCTGTCCCTGCACCTGCGCGGGAAGGGTGGCCTGGGCCGAGAGCCGGAGGCCGAGCCCGGCCGGCCACACCTGGAGCTGGACTGTGCCAGGTTCTCCCTGCCCCACTTGAGCAACATGAGCCCGGAGCTGTCCATGAACGGCCACGCGGCCGGCTATGAGCTCTGCGGCGCGCTGAGCCGGCCCTCGCCCAAGCAGAACACCCCCCAGTACCTGGCCTCCCCCCTGGACCAGGAGGTCGTGCCCTGCACCCCGAACCACAGTGGCCGGCCGAGGCTCGAGAAGTTGTCCGGCCTGGCCCTGCCCGACTACACCAGGCTCTCCCCGGCCAAGCTGGTGCTGCGGCGCCACCTGAGCCAGGACCACACAGCCAACAGCAGGGCGACCGCCAGCGAGCTGCACTCACGGTGAGCTCGTGGTGGGGGGCCTTCTGAGCGGGGGATCGTCAGTTTGGAAGAGAATCTCGGGGGTTGTTAGGCCCAGGCGGCCAGCTCTGAACGCAAAATTGTGGCTCTGAGGGCTCCCCAGAAAATGACCGAGGACACGTCTCGTTTCCAGAGCTGAGCATGCCAAGGAGAACGGCCTCCCGTACCAGAGCCCTGGCATCGCCAACGGCATCAAACTGAGCCCACAGGACCCTCGGCCCTCGTCCCCTGCGGCCTTGCAGATGACAGGAGAGAAGAGCAGTGAGAAGGTGAGGCCACCGCTCTTGTGAAAGTGCCCACGCGTGGGGTGGAGTAGGGCTGAGAGGGAAGGTGGGAGGCTGCCTGGCCGCGCCCTAACCCTGGGGTGAGGCTGGAAGAGTGGGATTGTCTCTGGGGAAAGGAGAGGCCGGGTTGAGCAACAGGGGAAGGGAAAAGCCTGTTGCACTCCTGTGATGGGGTGTGTGCTGGGGTGATGGGTGGGGGCCCTGGCAGGTCGGGAGGATCGCTTTGGGGTGGGGGTGACTTGTCACTGGTTGGAGGGCTGCTGTGTCCCTCGGGGCGGTGCTCAAGGCCCAGTTTCCTGGTCAGCGGGAGCAGGCTGGCCCGGTGGTGTGTCTGCAGGGTTTGAAGGAGCGCACCTACGCCAGCAGTGGGGAGGCCATCACCAGCCTGCCCGTCAGCATCCCGCTCAGCACCGTGCAGCCTAGCAAGCTGCCAGTCAGCATCCCTCTGGCCAGCGTGGTGCTGCCCAGCCGCGCCGAGAAGGTGGTGAGTGAGGCCCTCGGCCTGGAAGCCTGGCGTCCCCAGGCACCGTGTGTAGGCGCCAGGAGAGCCGGTGCTCTTGTTCTTTCCCCTCGAGGCCCAGAGCCTTCTTGTTCAATTGCACGTGGTTAAGTTTGGAGCTTACCGTGATGCCCAAGAAAAACAGAATGTCTGATGTCCACATTTAATTCCAGTAACATTTTGCCACTTTTACTTTAGATCCTTTTAGTAAAAGGTGACGTGTGCAAACGGAGAGGGACTAAAACTTCCAGATTCTGTAGAAACTTCTCCCTTTCCTTCTAGTTCACATGTGCATTCAGCGTCACACGCATGGACTTGGAAATGACACTCTCCTGTGGAGTGGGCTGTTCGTGTTTATGGAGATGTCACTCACACACAACTCACCCACCTAAGGTGTTCGGTGCAGTGGGTTTTAGTACATTCACCAGTCGTGCAGCCATCTCTAGTTCCAGAACATTCCATACCCCCAAAAGGAAGCCCATCCCCACCAGCAGTCACCCCCATCCCCTCCCCAGCCCCTGACAACCAGGAGCCTACTGTCTGTCTCTGTGGATCTGCCTGTTCTGAATATTTCCTGTCAGTGGAATCACAGACTGTGTGTCCTTCTGTGTCTGGCTTCTCTCACTGAGCATCGTGTTCTCAGGGTCCATCCACGTGGTAGCGAGTGTCAGGGCTTCTCTCCTTTTCGTGGCTGAGAGATGTTCCACCATACAGACGGACCACATTGTGTGCATCCGTCACCTGTTGGTGGTCATCTGGGGTGTTTCCACTTCGGGGCTGTTGTGAATTGTGCTGCTGAGGACATGCGTGTGCGGGTTTTGTGTGGGTACTTGCTGTTGTCTGGCTCCATGTAGGAGTGGAGTTGCTGGGTCAGATCATAACGGCTGCCCTCACTGCTCTCCCTGCCCATTTATCCCTGGCCCAATGCTTGCCTGTTAGCCAGGGCCATCCCTTAGAACCGAGGTCAGACACCTGTGCCTCACCTCGTGAGAACCTTCCCGTGGCTGCCCACCAGGCTCACACCCTGAGCGGCCACTTGCCCTTCCGTGCTCGTGGCCTCGGGCCCTTGGCACGTCCTGTGGCGTATGGCCGGATCAGCTGAGAACCTGCATTTTCTCTCCGCAGAGAAGCACCCCCAGCCCCGTGCCGCAGGCCCGAGAGTCCTCGTCCACACTGGAGAAGCAGATGGGTGCTGGCACCCACGGCTCCGGGTGCAACGCTGCTGGGAGCAGAAGCCTCGCCCTGGCCCCTGCAGGTTAGGGCTCCCTCCCGTGCGAGGACCCAGAGGTGCTGGGTGGGCTCAGCATGTCAGCTGCACAGCGTGGCCCGGGGCTCGGGGGCTCCGAGCTGGGCTGTCCCGCTCTGCTCATCTCAGCTGGCTGTGTTCGGCCTGGGCCCATGCCAGTCCTCTGGGCGATGGCGTCCTCATCCAACCGCGTTCCAGCGGTTCTGCTCCTCCTCAGAGAGCTTCGAGTGAGGCTTCCGGGCGGGGCCCTGCGACCTAGAGGGTGCCTGTCACCACTGCCCAGCCATGGATCCCATCGGGGGCAGCGGGCATGTGTGGTCAGGTTGCTTGCCTGTGTCCACATGGCCTGATCTATGCCTGTTCTTCTGGGGATAAAGAGCACAGTGAGGAGGCTGCTGTTGGGACGGGCGTCCCGCCTCTGGCGCTGCTGCTCTCGCGTGGGGAGGGCGTCACCGCTGGTGGTGCCCGGGGTCCACCGGCTTGTGCGTGAGCTCCAGGGCCCAACCAACCCAGGCCCAGAAGTGGGAAGAGCACACAAGTGACGGCCCAGGGGTCCCCACTTGTCCTCACCCGAACCTGGTTCCGTGGTGCCGTCTCAAGGTGCTGGGCACCGAGCATGCGGAGAGCTGAGCTTCCTTGCGCTCCGCCGGGTTCGGCCAGGTGGGCATCCTTTCCCGGACGAGCTCCCCTGAGAAAGCGTGTCCTTCCTACAGGCTTTGCCTATGCCGGCTCAGTGGCCATCAGTGGGGCCCTGGCAGGCAGCCCGGCACCACTCGTCTCTGGAGCCGAGCCCCCCGCCCTGGACGAGTCCTCCAGCTCCGGAAGCCTCTTTGCCACTGTGGGGTCCCGCAGCTCCACCCCTCAGCACCCCCCGCTGCTGGCGCAGCCCCGCAACTGCGGCTCGGCCTCGCCCGCCCCCCAGCTCTGCGCCAGTCCCCGGCTCGGCGCTCAGGGCCCGCTCCCCGACACCAGCAAAGGAGACCTGCCCTCTGAGGCCGGCTTCTCGGATCCCGAGAGTGAAGCCAAGAGAAGGATCGTCTTCACCATCTCGGCCGGCTCTAGCAGCGCCAAGCAGTCACCTTCCAGCAAGCACAGCCCTCTGTCCTCGGGCGCCCGCGGTGACGGCGGCCAGAGCCACGGGCAGGACAGCCGCAAGAGGGGCAGGAGGAAGCGGGCAGCGGCGGGGACCCCCGGCTTCAGCTCGGGCGTGTCCCCCAAGCGCCGGGCCCTGCCGTCCGTCGCCGGCCTCTTCACCCAGTCTTCAGGGTCCCCCCTGAACCTCAACTCCATGGTGAGGCTGGGAGTGGCGTTGGGGGCGGTAGGTCCAGGGCGCTCCAGGGGCCTGCTGACGGGCTTGTGCGTCTGACCCCTCAGGTCAGCAACATCAACCAGCCCTTGGAAATCACGGCCATCTCGTCCCCCGAGAGCTCCCTGAAGAGCTCGCCTGTCCCTTACCAGGACAACGACCAGCCGCCCGTGCTCAAGAAGGAGAAGCCCCTGAGCCAGACCAACGGGGCCCACTATTCCCCGCTGACCTCGGATGAGGAGCAGGGCTCTGAGGACGAGCCCAGCAGTGCCAGGCGAGTGGGGCCGACGGGGCAGGTCCCTGTGGCCAGGACGCGGGGCAGGCAGCTTCCCACCTGCTGCTGGGTGGTGGGCACAGGGTCCCGACCTCACTTGGGGCACTTCCTGGAGCAGACAGGCCCCTTCCTGGATCGTTCACTTTAACTGTGTAAGAAACAGCCCGTGAAGGGCCCAGGGCATCTGAGAGCCTCTCGCCACGTGCGTGTGGGGCAGGGCTGACCCCTGAGTCTGTAGCTCCCGGGGCGGCGGCGCGAGGCGGGTGTTTCTTGGTGGCAGAGAGAAGGGGAGGGCGGCCGCCACAGCGCAGAGCCAAGAGGCAGGCGTGCAGGCTCCCATCAGTGCCTGGTGTCCACTCAGCTGACGGTGAAGAGTGCTTTCTTCCTGGGTTTTTTTTCAATAACAGCTTTATTAGGTATAATTCATATACCACACTGCGCGCTTGAAACGTGCGACCCAGTGGTCTTTGACATATTCGTGGGGTTGTGCAGCCATCACCGCTGTCGGTTTTAGAACATTTTCATCACCACAGAAAGAACCCCTGTACCCTTAAACACTTGACTCCCCAGCCCCTCCCCCAGTCCCTGGCCCCCACAATCTACTTCCTGTCTCTGTGGATCTGACTCCTCTAGGGACCCCGTGAGTGGGATCAGGCAGCGTGTGTCCTGTGTCTGGTTTATTTCACTGAGCATCCTGTCCTCAGGTTCATCCGTGGTGTAGCAGGTGTCAGAACCTCCTTCCTTTCTGTGTGTATATATCACGTTTTGTTTATCCACCGTGTGTCCGTGGACGCTTGGGTTGCTTCGTTTTCAGCTGTTGTGAATCGTGCTGCTATGAACGTCCCTATACTACATGTGTTTTTACTTGAAAACGTGTTTGCAATTTACCCAGTACTTAGGCGTGGAATTGCTGGATCTCATGTGGCGAGTCTGGGTTTAACGTTTTGAGGAACCACCAGACTTTTCCACGGCAGCTGCCCCATCTCACATTGCTGCCAAGCATGCACAAGGGTGCCAGTTTCTCCACATCCTCACCGGCACTTGTTATTTTCTGGGTTTGTTTTTAGTACGGTAGCTATTTCTGTGAGGGTGTGGTGGTGTCGCCATGGTTTTGACCTCATCTCCCTCGTAGTCGACGACACTCAGCATCATCTGTTCCTCAGACAGATGTCTGTTCAGGTCCCGGCCCCACTCTTGAGTCGGGTTGTCTTGTGCTGCTGTTGTTATGTCATGAGAGTTCTTTAGACGTCTACGTACCGGATCCCTTGTCAGGTACGGGATCTGCAGCTGTGTTCTCCCGTCCTGTGGGTGGTGTGTTCACTCCATTGCTGGTGTCCTTTGAGGCATAAGAGTGTTCAGTGTTGACAAGATCCCGTGTGTTGTGTATCTGTGTTTTCTTTATTATTATTTTTCTTTAAAATTAATTTATTTTTGGCTGCGTTGGGTCTCTGTTGCTGCGTGAGGGCTTTCTCTAGTTGCGGCGAGCGGGGGCTACTCTTCGTTGAGGTGCACGGGCTTCTCATTGCAGTGGCTTCTCCTGTTGCGGAGCAGGGTCTCTAGGCGCGCGGGCTTCAGTAGTTGTGACATGCAGGCTCACTAGTTGTCGCGCACGGGCTTAGCTGTTCCACGGCCTGTGGGATCTTCCCAGACCAGGCTCGAACCCGTGTCCCCTGCATCAGCAGGCGGATTCTTACCCACTGCGCCACCATGGAAGTCCCTTTCTTTAATTTTATTCAATTCTTAATTTATTTATTTTGGTCGCTCTGGGTCTTAGTTGTGGCATGTTTAGTTGCGGCATGTGGGATCTTTAGTTGCGGCATGCAGACTTTTAGTTGCGGCATGCATGTGGGATCGAGTTCCCCCACCAGGGATCGAACCCGGGCCCCCTGCACTAGGGGCACGGAGTCTTACCCGCTGGACCGCCGGGGGACGTCCCTGTGTTTTCTTCAGTTGCCTGTGTTTTCAGTGTCTTGTTGACTTACCCTTCCACATACGAAAAGTACATTTTACAAGTTCTGGATTCTTTGGCGAGTTCTGTGTCTCTGGAGGTCATAGTTCTTCGGGACGGTCCACAAAAATCCTGACACATGAAGCACACACTGCTCTGTACTTCGGTACAGCTATGGGTACAGCTTGCTGGGGAGTTAACGTGCTAGGTGCTGCGCATCTGCCTCTGTGGACGACGCGGTCTCCTAGAGCTTGAGAGCACGTTAAGCATGGAGACAGTTCTGTCTGGGACTCGCGGCTGTCTTTGCGTGTTGGGAAACGGCATCCCTGCTCCTCCGCCGGGGCCTGGCTCTCACCACAGCCGTCATCGTGCCGGCACAGGTGCCACCGCACGGGCATGGGGGCGCCCGGGGGCCCTGACAGCGGGTCATGCATTGCTGGCTTACTGACCCCGCTGGGCAATTTGGTGTAAACGTATAGCGCTCTGGTGTGCCCGTGGATTGCAAACATTTATCATCTCTTTTTTTTTCCTAATAGAATTGAGAGAAAAATTGCAACCATCTCCTTAGAAAGCAAATCTCCTCCGAAAACCTTGGAAAATGGTGAGTTTGGTGCTCCCGATGCCTGAGTCCTTGGTGCCCGGCCTCTGAGGAGCCACACGGGGCTTCCAGAGTGGTCCCTGGGTGGTGTGGGTGCCGCCCGGCCTCCTGGCCCCTTTCCCTGTGGACATGGCGGGCGCTCTGGGTGCTGCCTGGGTAGATGGGGCACATGTGGTGCTCTGTGCTGACACGCTGGCCCTCCCGCACAAGCAGCCCTGCTCCCTGAGTTTCTCCCACGGCCCCACCCTCGCCAGGTCTGCCCCGTCCTCCGCCATGGGGGCTTGTCTTGGGGGCGGGGGTCATTCCGAGCCGGCGGTGGTCTGGTCCCCGTAGCTTCCGCTCTGCCCCACCCAGCCCAGGCCTCATAGCCGCTGCCTCTCCTGGCAGGGGGCGGCCTGGCGGGAAGGAAGGTGCCAGCCAGCGAGCCGGTCAACAGCAGCAAGTGGAAGTCCACCTTCTCGCCCATCTCCGACCTCGGCCTGGCCAAGGCAGCCGACAGCCCGCTGCAGGCCGCCTCCGCTCTGAGCCACAACTCCCTGTTCGCTTTCCGGCCCGGCCTGGAGGAACCTGGCGCGGCTGATGCCAAGCTGGCTGCCCACCCCAGGAAGAGCTTCCCAGGCGCGCTGCCGGGGGCGGGCGGGCTGAGCCCCAGCAGCCATCCCGCCAGCAGCTTCGCCCTGGGCGGGGGCCTGGCGGCCGACCTCAGTTTACACAGCTTCAGCGATGGTGCTTCTCTCTCCCACAAGGCCCCCGAGGCGGCCGGCCTGGGCACCCCCCTGAGCTTTCCCGGCCCGCGGGGCAAGGAGGGCGGCGCCGCAGACCCCGGCCCCTTCGTGAACAAGAGACAGCTGGACGGACTGGCCCCGAAGGGCGAGGGGGGCCCACCTGTGTGCGGGCCCGCGGACAAGGCCTCAGCGACGCACGGCAAGGCGGGCAAGGGCCGTGACCGCGAGCCCGACGTCAAGAACGGCCACAACCTCTTCATGGCCGCTGCTGCTGCTGCTGCCGCCGCCGCTGCCACCCCCCCCCGGGGGCCTCCTCAGCGGCCCGGGCCTTGCCCCGGCGGCGTCCTCGGCAGGGGGCACGGCCCCGTCCGCCCAGACCCACCGCCCCTTCCTGGGCGCCTTCGCCCCCGGCCCGCAGTTCGCACTGGGCCCCATGTCCCTGCAGGCCAACCTGGGTCCGTCTGTGCTGCAGTCCCTGTTCAGCTCCGTGCCCGCCGCCGGCCTGGTGCACGTCTCAACCGCCGCCACCAGACTGACCAACTCGCACGCCATGGGCAGCTTCTCCTCCGGGGTGGCCGGCGGTGCAGTCGGAGGTAGGCAGCGCCCTCTGGCCGTGCGGGACCCGCTGGGGGATGGGCCGCGGGCCGCATGCTCTCACCGGCGCCCTCCGGGACCGCTGGGTTTAACCACCGCTGTTTGCAGGTTCCCTTCCAGGGCCCCCTGAGGGGGGAGAGGCTGTGCCCGCGTATCCCCTTGGGTCCACTTTGCACCCGTCACCTCGTTCCTTTTCGCGAAACGCAGACGTGACTGTCGTGTGGGCAGAGCGCTCAGGCGTGAGTCGGCCTGTGCCACGCTCTCTGGTCTGACGGCGTCCCTCTCGCTCTCAGGGGAGCTGGCGCCAGACGGAGCTCTCTCCTTCCTCCCCGCGGAGGTCACCTGTCAGGCCTGACGCAGCCCGGGCTCTGGGCAGCCTTGGGGCCGGCGCTGGGGAAGAACCAAGGGCCGCGGCGCCCGCCAAATGCACCGTGGCGCGTGCGGGGTGGAGAGGAGTGCAGGGAGCCACAGCCGGCCCCTCACCGGGCACGGGCGCCGGGGCTGGGCTGGGGAGGGGAGGGGAGGGGAGCCGTCCTGCAGGTTATCCCAGCGCCTGCGCTCCCGCTGCCTGCGCTTCACCCTCACCTGTGCCGCTCGCACGCGGAGCTGGAGCTGCAGCCGCCGTCGGCTTCCCCTTCTCCGCGCGCCTTCCTTGGCTTGGCTGGTGATGCCCGCCTGTTGAAGCTGGGTTTTTCTCTCCTGTTTGCAGGTGCCTTTAACCACGCGGTGCCTCCCGCCTCCGCTCATCCGTTTGGAGCCAGTTTCGGCAGTGGGGCTGCATGTCGCAGCGCCACGCTGAGCCTAACCCCGCTGCAGGCGGTGGCCAGCACCCCGGCCTCTTCCTTTCAGGCCCCGCCCCCTGCGGAGCCGAGGCCGGCCCCGCCCCCTCCGCACCTGGGCCGGCCCCCTCTGGGGCCGCCCGCCCTCCACGCCCCGCCCCCTCCTAACGCCGCCTTGCCTCCGCCCCCCGCGCTGCTCCCGGCTAACTCTGAGCCCGTGCTCCTGCAGAACCTCGCGTCCCTCCCAGCTAACCAAGCTTTCTTACCTGCCTCCTCTGCTGCCTCTGTGCCGCCTGCTAACGCCTCTCTGTCCATCAAGCTCGCCTCACTTCCGCACAAGGTGTCCCGCCCCTCCTTCACGGTGCACCACCCGCCCCTGCCCGGGCTGGCCCTGGCCCAGGCCGCGCCCGTGATCCCGCAGGCCAGCTCCACGGGGCCGCCCGCCGTGTGGGTTTCCCTTGGCATGCCACCTCCGTATGCCGCGCGCCTTGCGGGGGTTAAGCCGCGATAAAGACCTTGCTTAGCTAGCAGTTCGTATTCTGTAAGGTAAGGCTAGAGCTCGACCAGGCGGCCCATACGAGAACCTGAACTGACCTTCCTTTGCAGAAAACAGGCGGGCCCGCGGGGCTCCGTGGAGGGGCCCGGGGGCCAAGGTTGCTCTCCTGCGGCCGGGAGGTGCGAAGGCGAAGAGCCAGGGAGGCAAGGGAACCCGGGCGGCGAGAGCAGAGAGAGGGAGGGTGTGGCTGGCCCCGCCCCCTCCGCCGCTGCCGGTGGACCCTCCCCCCAGGTCGCCCAGGGAGGGGGCCAGGAGGAGTCAGTCAGTCAGGGTTGGCGTCCTGGCCGGGTGGAGCCTAGCTCGAGCTTGCCGCCGCCCTAGGCTTGGCGTCTGCAGCAGCCTGGGACCTGGGCAGCCCCGGCGTGGGGTCATGGGGGCAGCTCAGGATCCCAGCTTTGTCTTTGTGTGCGCTCTTGGGCCCCTCAGCCCGTTTCCATAAACGCGCCTTGTGAGGGTTTGGGGAGAGCTCAACGCGTTTAAGGCACCTGGTACACGGCAGGCCTTCTGGACGTGGGGGTCGCGTTTGTTGGGCTCCTTAGCTAGAGGGCCTGCCTGCAGGGGCCGATGGGCAGCAGGGTGAGTGTGGCGCCAGCCCCACAGGCAGGAACGCCGGGCCGGTGGCGGGGCTCTGTAGCTGTGGCCGAGGCCCGGCTCCTCCGGCCTCCGAGGCGCACGGGCTGCCTTTCAGACCGTCCGTGTGGGGGTCAGCGGAGACAAGCGTAGGAAGGGCCCGCTTTCGGGAGCTGGAGGGGGCAGGTGTCTGCGAGGCCTCCAGGGAGGGTCCTGGGCCCCGGTGCAGCTGGCCTGGCCACTGCTGGTGCCATGTCCACATCCCCTTGGGGCCAGGACTGGAGCGGGGGTCCTGCCTGCCGTCCTTGGCTGGCTGTCGTGTTTTTAAGTGGAAACAGATGGGAGGCCGCTGGAGTCTGACGGCCTCCTGGTCAGGGTGCAGGTCAGTGGACAGCCCTACCCGAGGCCTGGGGATGGGCTGTGCCTCGGTTGTTGGAAAAGCCCAGAAGGTAGGGCGGCTCAGCCTGCAGTGGCCTCGCGCCGTCAGAGGAGCTTGGAGAGGGCAGACGTGCACTGGGAGGTCGGGGACCAGGCCCACAGTGGACGCTGCCTGCCTGCCGTCCTGGCCGCGCCGGCCTCACTCCTGGGGCATGCAGGCTTGTCCTGGAGCGCTGCCCGGCGTGGGGACCGGGGAGGGTCTCCTGGGGAGGAGGGGAGGCCAGGACCCAGCCAGCGCCCCACACGCACTGGAAGGGCCTGGGGACAGGACCTCCTGCCTCTGACAGGGCCCAGAGGCGTGGCTCAGGGTGCTGCCACCACCTCGTCTGCCGTCTGTCGTCCGTCCGTCCGTCCGTCCGTAGGTGGCTCTGGCGCCCTGGCCTGGGGGTGCGACGGGCTCGTCTGGGCGCGAGGCTAACGCTATGCTGCCTTTCCTCCCGCGCCGTGTCCGCAGGTAACTAGGATTTCTACCTCAACCGCGAGACTATGCAAGGATGGGGCGGGCTGGCGGCGCGGGGCCCCCCGCAGGACGGCGAGGACGGATGGAGGCCAGAGGACAGGCTCTACTGTGAATCAGCGCCGCGCACAGCTGCGGAGACGGCGCGCTGGGGCCTGGCTCCAGCCTGTACTGTCGATAGTCTTAGATAAAGTATTTATCGTTTTTTAAAAAGTATAAACAATTTTGACTTATTTTATTTCACCGAAGTCGTGAAGGCAACCTATCGAGAGATGTAGATACTATATTATATGAGAGAATATATGTAAAGACATCGCCGAAGGACCGGCCCACCGCGGAGACGCTGGCAGCCGGCCCGGTGCTATCTCGTCGCCAGGCTCGCGCCTCCACGTGCTCTTGGTGCTGACTCTCGAGGTTGACCACGCCAACGCCAGGTCCTAGCGCCTGGCGTGTTCATTCCCGCCGCTCTTCCCATACCAAAGGCGGCGTCTCCGGTGGAGGCCCGCCCCGCCCCGCCATCACTGTGAACGGCCTCGGCTCAGCCCTCGGGATGGCGCCTTTGGCATCGGAACGGCAGTCCTGCGCGGCAAGGCTGCGGTGGCGGAGCCTCGAGGAGGGGACCCGTTCTCAGTGGTGCTTGTGAGGAGGGTCTGGTACCCGACTCTGCTGCCTGGCTGGCTGGCTCACTTGTGTGACAGGTGCATTTACTTTTGTACGCCTCTGCTCGCCCTGGGCTCACGCCGCAGCCCCCCCCCCCCCCCAGGGTCGGCTCCTGTGGTGGCCGGGGACGCAGGCGGGTTAGTTGTGGGTGCCTGCTTTGTCTACAAGGGAGTCACGCTGACAGGTGACAGTATTTTATAGAGAGGTGATGAAAATTTATAAATTTCATAGACGGACTTCATTTATTTTTAGACTGTATGACGAATACACAGTAAACTAAAGAGAAAAGGAGGAAAGGAAAGTGAGGGGAAACCCTCCCGCCTGTTCAAGTGCACAGCGGCACTGGCCCAGGGCCCTCCTGCCCACCCTGCTGGGGTGACACCTGCTCCACCCGAGCGGCCACGGTGGTGCTTGGGAAGGGATGCGCTTGGGGTGGCCGGGCAGGAGGGCTGCTCCCTGAGGCTCCGAGGTGGCCGGTAGGGTTCTTGGTCCCTCGAGCACAGCACCTGTGACTGGTCCTGGGTCCCTGGGTGGGGCAATGTTGTCTGTGTGCCTCCCGAGAAGCTCTCGGTCCCCCGAAAGGGCCAACATCGGCCAAAGGTGGGCGCCCCAGCGAGGGCTGAGCGTGGGCAGTCGGAGCCCCATCCTCAGGTGTTTGCCACCCAGGCGGCACCCGTCAAGGAGCGTGGGAGGGTGGGCCTCTGTGTGGTGGCCTAACGTGAGCCTTCCCCGGCCTGGCCGACTCCACATACCCTTCAGAGGTGGACGCCACGGGTCCTCTGCCTGCCCTTGAGTGGGGTCGGTGTGGTGGCCGAGGCCCGGCCCCGCTTCCTGACCCCCGGGACGCAGGCCACAAGGGTCAGAGCGGGCCAGTGCGCTGCCTGCAGCCACCTCTACACTGTGTGGGGCAGCAATCAGGCTAGAGACGGAGCCTTCCTCCTGTGACCGCCCGCCCTGCCCCCCTTCCCCCCAGGTCGGTGCTCCCAGTGCACGACGGTGCTGTCCTGACCCCCGGCCCCCGGCCTCTCCAAGAGGCTCCCCTCCCCGTGTCAGGAACACAGGGCTCCCGAGAAAGCTACGGCGCTGCCAGCGGAGCCCCCATCTGAACAAAGGACACTGTACAAACACTGCGTCACTTCGGGAGGACCACCGCGCCGCGTCTGTCCTCTGCACGCACGCGCAGGCACCAGGGGACGGACGACCCGCGCAGGGCCTGCCCCACAGCGGGGCCCAGCTCGGCCTCTCCACACCCACCCTCCGGTCCCAGCCTGAGCGCCGCTGCTGACGCCAGCCACGGGAGTAGGGCGCCGGCTGGCGTGCGTGGGGAGCGGCCCTGCGGGAGCCCCACCGCTGCTGCCGACGCGGGTGCTCCAGGTCTGACGGCTGCTGTCGCTTTGCTCAGGAAAACCTAACAACTAGGACAGCCTCCAGTCAGGGGATGCGTTCTCTGTTCAGCTATGAATCGTGACCTATTTAAGAACCAGCCCCCCCCCCCCACTGCCCTTATTTATCCTGCCAGCCGGCCCGTCTACAGTTAGGACTGTTTGTTCTCATTTACACATCCATCCACGCTGGCTCTCGCATCCCTGCCTTGGTTTGTAACGGAGACGGGCTTTGCTTTCTTGTTCTGGTAGCTTATGTTTCAGTTGGGGCGCTGGCTCCACCCCCTCTTCCCAAGGGAACCCCACTGCACTGCGTTTCCACCTGTAGACGCTGTAATAAAATACCTGTTTTCACTTGAACCTGGTCTGGTGGCAGTGTTTCTTCCCGACCGTGACATGGCAAGGTCCTGGAGCGCAAAGAGGGTCCCGGGCCGTGATAGCCATCCCCAGTTGGGGAGGACGGTCACTCCCAGCAGAAGCCCCACCTGCTCCGGAAGGCAGGCCCTGTGACCACAGCAGACAGTGAGCCCCACCTCAGGGAGGCCCAACCCCTCCTTCAGGGCCAACACCTGACTAGGTCAGGCCCACCCAGGGTGGGCCTTCTCCTTGACTAACTGAAACCGACTGCTTGGGTACTTTTCACACCACCAACAAAACCCTTCCCGAAGTCCCGCCTGCACTCGGAGGGAGGCCTGTGAGCCCCAGAGGCCCTGTGGGCTGGGCCCCAGCCTCCCCACCTTTCCTGGCTCTGGGTTCTAGGCCTCCTCTCCTCTGTTCCTACTGGGCACTTAAACCTTGAACCTGGGCAGGGCTTCACTTCCCTCAGGACCCCGCTGTGACTCTGCGGGACCGGCAGCCTGCGGAGGACAGAGGTCCCTCTCTGCATTCACTGCACCGCCGTCCCGTGTGAAAAAGAGGTACCTTTATTTGAACAGAACAAACTGGCCACCCGAAAGGCGCACCTTCCAGCTCTGCCCAGAGGCGTCCGGCCGGGGCCTGCCCCTTCAGCAGGAGAATTCACAGCAGCCCCAGCATGGGCCCACGCCCTTCACAGCATCACCTAATGTTGTACATTCAGCCTGCACGGGGCAGGAGAGTTGCACCAGCCTCAGGCACCTGCCAGGCCTGGATGGACGCACCCAAGGGGCTGGGCACAGCTCCTGGGAGAGGACACCTGTCCCCTGGCAGCAGCATGTGGCACTGAGGTGCCACAGTCCAGTGGGTCCCAGTGCATCCAGTAGGGGCTTGCTGGATTGTTTCTTCAAAAAGGCAGGCCCTGCGGATCCTGGGGCTTTTAAAATCTGTAAACCAAGACACCTCCCACGACAAATCCAGGCTTGGCCAAGAAACCGGGGACCCAGGGAGGGTTCATCCAGCCCCCAGCAGGAAAGTTGAGGAGCCCCACACCCAGACTCATGCCTTCAGGCCGCTCAGCTGGAACCTGGCCTCCTCTGATATGCCGAACTGCTCCAGGGGATCCTGTGTGGGTGGACGATGGTGGGGGGGGGGACGGCATGAGCCTAGGCCCAGAAGACCCCCAACTCCCACCCCTGCACCCACGCGCACCTTGCCAGTCATCTTCTGGATCTCATTCCGGTAGAAGATGAGGCTCCTCCGCATGAACTCGTAACTAGGGAGGAGGGTGGTGTGAGTCCACAGGGCCTGCCCCGCCCCTGCCCCAGGCCCCCAAGGCGGCCGCACCCCACCTGGCTCGACGCACCCCACCTGGCTCGACGCAGAGCAGCCATCCACTCCTGACACTGCTCCTCACTGCAACACTCAAAGTGATACTTTCTCTCTGGGTCCTCTAGAAAGCCTGCGGAAGGAGTAGCCCCCATCTGTCCCCGCTCGCTCCCACCTCCCCCCCACCCAGCCCTCAACTTCCTCTTGCCATTGTCCACGACTGTCCCCTTTCCAGCCCCGGCCCGCCTGGGCCCACTGCTTCCCACCAGCTGGGCGTCGGTTGAACTGTGTCCCCCAAAAGATGTATGTTCGAGTTTTAAAAAACATGAGACATTTCCCAGGACTATGAATCTATCCGGATGTGGAATCACTGCAGGTCTAAGTAGTTACAAGCAGTTGAGCTGAAGTCACGCTGCACTAGGGTGAGCCTCTAATCCAACAGGACTGGTGTTCTTAAGAAAATGAAACCTGGACACTACCACACAAGGGAGAAGATCCCATGAAAAGGAAGGCAAAGATGGAGTGAAAACGGTCGCCAGCGACCCCCCAGAAGCCGGGAGAGAGATCATGGGGGCAGATTCTCCTTCAGAAGGAACCAGCCATGCCAACACTCTTGATGTCACACTTCTTGCCCCCCAAAACTGAGAGAAATAAATTTCTGCTGTTTAAGCCCCCTAGTCTGTGGCACTCTTGCAGCCTCCCCAGAAGACTAGTTAGTAGCTCCGTCTTCGCCTGCAGACCCCACCCTCTCAAGACGACCCAGGAGAATCCTCCCAGTCCCCCAGCACAGGGCCCTGATCCCAGGAGAAATAAAACAATTACAGCGAGGCATCCACCCCGAGAGGGCAGCGCTCCCCAACAAGACAAGGGCGGCCTCTGGGGTAGTGCGCTCGGCCTGGGTCCCCACCCAGAGGAGCCAGCGCGAGTGGGGCTGCCCGGGACACTGGACTCAGCCTCTGGGGACTCAGGCGGGGTCGCGCCGGGGCGGGACGGGGTCAAGTAGCCTCGCCCCAGGCCGCACTCACTGATGGAGAAGCCGCTGGGCTCTTCCTGAGTGACTCTGCAGTGCTCCAGCAGCAGGGCTCCGACGGGCTAGGGGCAGACAGGGGCATGGGGGCGGGCACCGGGAACCTGCCCCCGCCCCGCCCCCGACTCCACACCCCGCCCCCCAACTGCGGCCGCCCCCCCCCAACTCCGGACCCCAACCCCGACCCCCACCCCCAACCCCGACCCCGCCCTCCCCGCCGCCTTACCTCCGCCTCGTCCGTCCGGAAGTAGAAGAGGAAGTTGACCACCAGCTTCACCAGCCGCCGTTTCACCACTGCGGGAACAAGGCGGGCTCGCGCGCGTTCCGCGGCTGCCCACCCCCGCCCCCCGGCCGCCCGGCCGCCCGGCCGCTCCGGCGCCTCGGGCCGCTCACCGCTGCCCTTCTTGGGGCCCCGCATGCCCAGCTCAGCTGCCATCTCGGCCGGCTGCCGGGACAGCGCCTGCAGCTCCTTCTCGTTATAGCGCATGGCGCCGCTGGGACCCAGAACGCGGAGCGCTGGGCCGCGCCCTCCGGGCCGCCGTCCTCACTCGCGCCGCTGCCGGCGCCAAAAGAGTCCCACGGCGTCGTCCCGGAAGCGCGGCCGGAGCTAACACGCCTGCGCGCTCCCGGGCCGCTCAGCCTGTCCTACACCGGCGAGTGGCAGAAGCGTCCCGGGGGCCGCCGGGGCCGAGTAGAGCCCTCGTGGGGCGCACAGAGCAGTAGGCAAGATGGACGGTTGTCACGTAACTAAGCAACAAGGTGGACCCGGGGTGGAAACGATAAAGCACCCCCACGACCTATAGCGCCCAGTACTCAAGGGAACAGGCGGACGGGAGTGGGAGACGAGAAGCAACTCGCTATCCCGCGAGAACTGGCTCCGCGCGAGTTTGGCCGACGATAAGGACAGTGAGAGCCGGTGCGCACGCGCGCTTCGGCTTCCGGCCTGCACTCCTGCTGCCCGCAGTCCTCCAGCCTCCGAAGCGTCTAGCCCGCGCCGCTGGGCGGGCCGGGCATGCGCACACGGAAGAACCCCGCCCCGCTTGCCCTCGGAAGTGCTTCCTTAGCCCGCGGCGCGCATGTGCAGAACGAAGTCGGCGCGGCGGCAGAGGTGGTGGCCGAACAAGCGACGGCGGTGCGGCCGCGGGTGAGAGTTAAGAGCCGCGCGGGGCTAGGGCGGCGACCGCAAGGGGCTCCCTGGAGGGGAGTAGGCGAGGGGCGCCTCGGCAGGGGCGCGGGCTGGGGGCGGGCGCCGGCTCCGCGCCCGCGCCCGGCGCTGGGCAGGCCCGACCCCCACACCCTCGCCCGCTAGGAGCTCCGGCTGCAAAGGCCCATTGGGTCGGGTCGGGTCGGGTGGCGGCTCCCGTGGTCCGGGGCGCCTTCCCTGCGCCCGAGGACTCGTCCGTTGGCTTGCTGGCTCTGTGGTCCGGGACTCACCTGGATAGGGGTGACGGCGGCCCCAGTTCCAGGCCCACCGAGTGGAAAGGAAGGTCCGGAGGCGGAGCGCCCGGCACCGCGCCCGAGGCCACCAGAGCCCGTTAGCTGGGCCCGTTTCGCAAGCGAAGCCCCGAGGTTAAGTGACTTCCCCGCCTGTCAGTCTAGGTTTCTTATACCATTCTTCTTCCTGCCCCCCAAAGCTCATTAACTTCTTCACCTTTCCTATTCGCCTGATTTTCTTTGCTTCTTGTTAAACCTTTGTACTTAAAGCGTTTTCACCTCACACGCCTAGCGGTTGTATTTTCCCACAGGTTGAAACAAATGGATGTCTTTTTTCCTTTCCCCCGTGGAAACTTCCCTCTCAAAGCTGTCATCCTCCTGCTCCGGTCGGGACTGGAGCCCCACCTTGCAGCTGAGTAGCTGTCCTAGAACCTGTTGTCCGGGCTCCCCTGGGCTGGCTTGTTTTCAGTGTGACCATCTACTCCCCTTCCTTTCTTCCATCAGAGCTCATCAGGTAGTTTTTGAAGAAGTCGACTCTTTTTTTTTTTTTTTTTTTTTGCGATCCGCGGGCCTCTAGCTGTTGTGGCCTCTCCCGTTGCGGAGCGGACGCGCAGGCTCAGCGGCCATGGCTCACGGGCCCAGCCGCTCCGCGGCATCTGGGATCTTCCCGGACCGGGGCACGAACCCGCGTCCCCTGCATCGGCAGGCGGACTCTCAACCACTGCGCCACCAGGGAAGCCCTCGACTCATTTTTTTATATTGAGCTCTCGGTTAGCTGAAAACGGCTTTATTTACCCTCACAGGCAGAAGGGTGGGTGTAAAGTTCCAGATCAAAAGCCCCCGGTGGGAGCTGTGAAAGCATTGCCCGTCTTAGGAGTTCCCTGCTGTCCTGAAGGGTCTCGTCCCGTTCTGGTTTCCGACCTCTTGTTTCTGATTTTCTTTCTGTCTAGTAGAAACTTTAGGTTTTCATTAGTGCTGTGAAATTTAATGGTTTCTTCGTTTGAGAGTGTTTTTTTTTGGTTTTGTCTGAAAATTAGGTTCTTTCAGTTCTGAGGTATTTTCTTTTATTTCATAGGTTATTCCTTTGATGATATTCTCCACGTTTGTTCTTTTTAATTGTTATTTTATGTGGGTCTATAGTTGATTTACGACATCGTGTTAGTTTCAGGCGTACAGTAAAGTGATTTATACACATACATATGTCCGCTCTTTTTCAGGTTTTTTTCACATATAGGTCATTGCAGAGCATTGAGCACAGTTCCCTGTGTTATGCAGGAGGTCCGTATTGATTATCTTTTTTTTGAATAAAGTTATTTATTTTATTTATTTTTGGATTTGTCACGTCTTTGTTGCTGCGCACGGGCTTTCTCTACTTGCGGCGAGCAGGGGCTACTCTTCATTGCGGTGCGCGGGCTTCTTGTCGTGGCAGCTTCTGTTGTTGCGGAGCACGGGCTCTAGGTGCGCAGGCTTCAGTAGTTGTGGCGTACGGGCTTAGCTGCTCCGCAGCATGTGGGATATTCCTGGTCCAGGGCTCGAACCCGTGTCCCCTGCATTGGCAGGCGGATTCTTAACCACTGCGCCACCAGGGAAGCCCTGGTTATCTATTTTAAATATAGTAGTGTGCCCACGTTTCGTTCTGTTTTCAGTTCGTGATTTCTAGATTCTTGCTTTGCCTGTTATTATTTTGCTATTATTGTTGTTATTGTTGTTCATTTTCCTGTTCTCCATTATGAAAGCCTTCTTTAACTCTTACATTCAAGCGCTCGTATTCATTGTTTTGTCAGGTTCATCACGTATTTACTTTTAAAGGTTTATTTTTTTTTTTAACTTTATTTGTTTATTTATTTAGGCTGCACCGGGTCTTAGTTGTGGCATGCGGACTCTTAGTTGCAGCATGTGGGATCTAGTTCCCTGACCAGGGATGGAACCCAGGCCCCCTGCATTGGGAGCGTGGAGTCTTACCCACTGGACCACCAGGGAAGTCTCAGGGTTCGTCTGGTTTTAATTCACCATGCTCACATTTGGCATCTATTCTAGTTTCACGATGTGATAACGTCTCCTGTCATCCGGGAGGACGTTAACATCTTCTATTGATGTTTCCACCAGGTTTCTTTTTTCTCTGATACACACGTTTCTTTGCGTCTGTTTATGTTAAGTTACCAGTCTGCATGGAGAGTAGTGCTTCTCATCTAGCGAGCTCAGTGGGCCTGGCAGAGTGCTGGGGTTTGGGGAGTGTGGGGGGCCCCCAACTGTCAGTGTCTGAGAATACTGTCTCTGGTGCTCTCTTCCCAGAAAAGACTCCTGATCTCCCCTGGGCTGGGAGCACCAGCTGGGTCTCCTGCCTGCTGGACACAGACCAGGGGAAGGGGTGTTGCCTGCTGCTTAACGGGTGGGTTTTTTGTTGTCTTTTTTTTTTTTTTGGCTGCATCAGGTCTTCGTTGCTGCGCGGGCTTTCTTTAGTTGCGGCGAGCGGGGGCTACTCTTCGTTGTGGCGCGTGGGCTTCTCATTGCGGTGGCTTCTCCTGTTGTGGAGCAGGGGCTCTGGGTACGCGGGCTTCAGTAGTTGTGGCTCGCGGGCTCTAGAACGCAGGCTCAGTAGTTGTGGTGCATGGGCTTAGTTGCTCTGTGGCATGTGGGATCTTCCCAGACCAGGGCTCGAACCCATGTCCCCTGCATTGGCCGGCGGATTCTTAACCACTGCGCCACCGGGGAAGCCCTAGCAGATGGGTTTTGATGGACCTGGCCCCTTTTCTCTCTGGCCTCATCTCAGTCTCTGATAGCTACTGGCACTCACTGTAACGTGGTGAGTGATTAAGTACTTGCTTGCGTTTGGGTTTCCTGAGCCAGTCGGATCCTCTCCACAGGTGCTCTCACGACACCTGTGGCGCGTACTCCCGGCTAGGACAAGAGCTTGTTCTGGCTGCTTGAGGAGAAACTGGGCTCCCCCCAAACTGACTGGAACTCTTGGCTCTGGTAGTGTTTTGCCTTTACCAGTTGGCGGCTCTGGGTGGACTTGGCGTGAAATAAAAAGTCTAGTCCTGGGATTCTGCAGCCTCACCACGTGTGAGGTTTTTGTAAACTCATCAGGTCACACTGCCGGTCGGTGGCACAGCTGGCTGGTGCCTGGACTGTTAGTTTCCTGTGGTCGGTGCAGCAAACCACCACCGACTTAGTGGCTTAAACGACCTAAGTTCATGATGCAGCTCTGGAGGTCAGGAGTTCATTGTGAGTCTCACTGAGCTTTATTTCTTCTGGAGCCTCCAGGGGAGCATCGGTTCCACCTTTTCCAGCTTCTAGAGGCGCCGCATCCCTGGCTCGCGGCCCGTCCTCCATCCTCACAGCCGGCAGCGCAGCATCTCCCGTCTCTCTCTGTCTCTGACCCCCTGCCTCCCTCCTATAAGGACCCTGTGATGACACTAGGCCCCTTGGGGAATCCAGGGTCCTCCCCTTCTCAGGGGCCGTAACTTAACCCCACCTGCAAAGTCTCCTCTGCCCCGTGAGGTGACACGTCCAGGAACCCTTGAGATTGAGATGGGGCCATCTTTGGCAGGGGTCATAGTCACTCCTGGGCCCCATCCCTGTGAATTTACCCCAACAGAGACAAGATGCCAGGGGCCTGGGGCCAACATTGACCAGTGGGAAAGGGAGTGTAAGATGAGAGAGGTTCCTGGAGGTTGGGTCTGAGCTGAGCCTGAAGGAGGGTGGGAAACAGTGGCTGGGCTGGAAGAGACATCAAGGGCTCGGGAGAGCCTTCCTCAGCCGCGAACGAGCCGTGAACATCTTGTGCGTTAGGCAGTGGCGGGGGGATAGGTTGGTAGATGTGTTCCTTGTTTCCAGCAAATGTACAGCTGAGCCTGAGAAGCAGAATTTAGGCTGAGAGAAATAAGTGTAAGACAATCAGAAAGGGAATTCAGAGAAGGGAGTGAACAGCATGGGCTTGGGTGGTCTGGGGAGGCTTCTTGGAGGAGGTGAGACTAATTAGTGAGACCTTGGTCTCATTTTGCCCTTTGCCATTTCGGGTGCTTGGGCCTTTGCACTCCTCAGGCTGGGGGGACTTCCTCAGTCCACCCACCAGGTCACCTGGAGATGCCCTGTTTCTCCTTCTTCCTCATTTCCATGTGCCTGGCCCATAGTGGACCCTCGGCCACTGGAAGAGACTTGGT